GATTTTAATACATGAATTTTGTTACTGCCCTTCTGAATAGGGGCTTGGGGTATACATTTGTATCTGGGTTCAGACACTCCATTTTATCATATTCATTACACTTATGAGGCATGTTACTTAAATGGTGTTAAGCCATTTACCATCGTTATTTATTTATTGTCATTAGCAGAAAACAAGAAATAGGAAGCAGGAGGTAAATAATTGAGTGACTTCATGAGAACAAGTGTATGTGGATGTCTTTGGGTGAAGCTGTTTGTGCCTGTGAATGAGAAGAGATGCACATTGCTAGTACTGTTTTCTTTGCTGTGCTTGATTTTCTAAAGCTTTCTTTTTCTGCTTTTTAAGCACTAGCCATGCTTAGCCATTCTGTAGCATGCTGCACTGAGTCAGAGCTTTATACCTTGTATTGTAGAAATCGGTCCTCTAAACCAAACAGTTCCATTTTTATGAGAGTAGTAGTTCCTACTGTGAGGTCCCTCATCACAGTACGGTTGGCTGTTACATCACTGCATAGGAGGAGGAGTTGATGAAGGTCATTGGACGCTCAACTGAGATTGCAGCCACTCCTTCTAGACGTTTGAATGCACTTCTGCCTTAATTGTGTAGAGGAGTCGGAAGGGTTGCTGTGGGGGTTCCTGGAGGTTCTAGAGTATCTAGGCTAGAGGAGGTTGAGAATGGCCCCTCCCTCCGTCTATGTAGCTATGGGAATCCATCACCCATGCTGGGTTGAGACTTTCTAGTGCAGCTGCTTTGGGCTCACCTTTACTCTTGCCCGTAGCCTCTCACTCATGCTCTGTAAGTGAACCCAGTAAACTCATTGGTTCCAAAGGGGGAACTTTGGCAGGTTAGCCTTTGGTTGGGACCTTGTAAGAAAAGGGGTACATGTTGTTTGCCTCTCCTCCAAGAGAAGGCTTTTTCTGACACCCCACAACTGTCTCTCTGGTGCTGGACTATTATCCAGACTGCTGTCCCCTTGAAAGGTGGTATTTGGAAGTTGAGAATTGACAGGGAGAAATAATTTCATTCAAGAGTCACCATCAAGGCTTCAGGATCCTTGTCTTCTTTGGTTATTACTCATAGTCATTTTTGGTGCCAGTGAATGGTGATGCCATAGTGATCTATGATTTTAGTTATCTTGGATTTGGGGTTTTAAGAGGAAATTCTTTTTCCATCTTCTAAAGTAGGCTCTCCCTCAGGGACTGCTGACTCATTCTGACTCATGTCTTTCATACTTTCTCTCCCACTGCTTGTGTGTGGAGAGAGTGACATGGTAAAGGCTCGGAGCCCATTTGCAGAGTAGGGTCAGCAATAGGGCTGGGCTGGGCAGAAGAGCCTCACTTATATTTGGGCTTTTTGTTCGTTGGTTGGTTGGTTGGTTTTTTTTATTTAGATACCTTTCACATGCATGAGATTTTTGAGAAGATGCACCCTGTCTGTAGTACTCCCTGTCCCCTTTGGTTCAACCTTTTTTATGAGCCTATGTTTAGAAAAATGCTAGTCTTAAGATGGACCAGAACCGTTCTAGTGCCTCCCCTTCCTTCAGCTTCAGCTCCAGCCCACAGCCTCCCAGAGCTCACTAAGATATAAGGGGCCCCTGAGTCTCTTCTCAGCTTGAGGCTCCTTTGTTCCAGCAAGGAGAAGGGAAGGCAGGCCTTTCCCAAGACGTTCTTTAGAAACTCCCCAGCTGCCTGCCATCTCTCAGATTCCATTCACTCCCTCTTAGAATCCTGATGCACCCCTTGTCCACCTGCTGTCACCACCCCTGCCCTCCTGGGTGTCAGATGTCTGTGGTGTAGACCTCTCTTCAAGGACCTTTGCTGGCCTGTCCAAAGGGGTCTATCCACTATGGAGTGGGGAAGGACACAGGCTCATCAGCTGTTGCTGTCTTTCTTCCAGCTCCTTAAGCCTCTCCCCCATTCTTAGTCCTCCTGGATTGAAGTGCGTTTCCCTCCTCTAATGAACTCCAGTCTTCATATAGAACTGGGAGCAGCATTGGGGGCATCGGGAATTTAGGAATCCTTGGTGAATTGTCTGAAATTAATGAGACCAAGAAGGGAAATCAAGTTCAGCTGTACAAATTGCCTTGCGTTCTGGACCTTGATGATTTAAATTGTAGATTATAATTAAATGCCTGCAAATAGAATGAGAAGTAGCTGCTAAAGTCTTTTGACCTGAAAGTTCCTCTGACCAATGAACTAGTATAAAATTAGGATGTAAATACTCCTTGCGGAGGATTGCGATCTTCAGAGAACTTACAGTGCATGTGACACAAACCACCTTCCTCAGAGTCAGGTGGACAGATGGAGTGGGCAGGACACAGGTAAGAGACGGTGGGTTGTCCGCCACCCTGGAGCAAGATGTCAGGGCTTAGGTGGGCAATTTGTGAGGTGACACATCTCTGCTGTCCCAAGGGAAGGGCTCACTGGCCCCTTCACTATTAGGCAGAGAGAAAGGCAGCGAGCAAGGCATGAGATACTGAGCTTACACTCAGTCAAGAGACAACAGCTCATCCCACGTAGGAAGTCATAGCCAGTATTTAACGCAGCCTTTTAAACATGCGACGGCGGCAGTATGGAACATGGGAAACAGTTCCCTGTAACCACTCCTACCTGGTGGCCGTCTTGTTACAGCCTTCACAGGCTATGGCTGGTCTCTGTAAGTTGTTGTAACTAGAGAGCAGCTGGTGCAAAACTGGTAGTGTTTGCTCTGCTGTCCCTGTTACCACCATTAAAGGAATTAAGTATATGTCTTACTGAGGCACAAAACCTGCTCACATACTTCTCAGTGGGTTGTCACTCGGAACTTGCACCCCAGCCAAGAAACAGAACCTTCTCGGAGCCCAGGAGTCACTCCCACCTCTGTAGCTGACACCCACCCCTGCACCATATCCTCCTTTTGACATCACAGCACAGACTCTGGTCCCTGCCTACACTTGACCAGTGTCTGCCCGTGTTGGGCTCTGGATGGCCTTCCCTGTGAGTCATCTGTTTTGCTCTGTCCATTTTACAGATGATGAATATTTCTGTTGTCTCTAGAATCCCACTGTTAATGACTGTCGCTGCTCTCAACATTCTCCATGGGGTGTGTGTGTGTGTGTGTGCGCGCGCATGCATGCGCACATGTGCGCACATACATACGTAAACTTCCATACATGCATTGCTGTTAGCAGTTGCACCCTGAATTGTACCCGAGTGGTGGATGGGTCACCAGTTAGTCCTGTGTGCAGCTTGGTAGGTAGGGACGGTCAGCTGTCTTGAGTAGTTACACTGCTCCTACTCCACCACAGCACTGCTCCAATTGCTCTACATCCTTGCCAGCTCTTGGCTTTGCCTGTCTGTCCTTGTAGTCTCATAGCTTCACTTTATATTATGTGTGACTTCTGGATTTATTAGAATAATTTTAGTATCTCATGATGTTCCAGAACATATTGTAGCTGGGCACTTAGATTACTTCTAGTCTTCATTATTTACAGTAAGCAGCTTTGTGAATGAGTCTTTTCTATCTTTCAGATGCTTGGCAAGAATTTTTTTGTTTACAAAATTTATAAATTCTAAAATTATAGTGTCACTCTAAAATGTTATCCACGACATAGAAGGGCTCCAGGCCTTCCAGCAGTATATATTTTGGAAGAATAGAGGGGCATCTCTTGGAGAATTAATTTAGGTGGAATAGGTGGATTTAGTGTTACTTTGCTGGAATTTGACAGTTTTTCCAAATATTTGCCATGCATATTCCTCTTTCACGGGCTCCTCCCCTTTATGCCTACATCACTGATGACTTTTGTTTATTCCTGCCAGCAGTTATTGTAGAATTTTAGTAGTTGGTCTAGTTTGATTTCTGTTGTTATGAACACACATCGACAACTTAGAGAAGAAAAGGTTCGTTTGGTTTACAGTTCAAAGGTCATCACATTAGAGGGTGGAGTGTGGAGTCAAATCAGGAGCTCAAGCAGTCTGTTGACTACATCATATCAGCAGGCAAGAGCAGAGAGAAAGAAATGCGTCCATGGTCAAGGATTGCTTTCTCAGCTAGCTTTCTTCAGTCTTGTTCAGCTCAGGCAGGGCCCAGCCAGTGGGAGGTGGCAGAGATGGGACTGCCCACAGTGGGCTGGGTCAGTTAGCCATCAGGACAGTCTCCCACAAAGTTGTTCACAGGCCGACCTGATCTAGATAATTCCTCAACTGAGACTCTCTTCCCAGGCGATTCTAGGTTGTGACAAGTTAAGACCAGCCATTGAGGTAGTCTCGGTGCTTTCTAAGTTTCCATATTTGCCTTGCAAATGTTTTGATTTGTGTGTCGTTTGATGAGAGCAGACCAGTGAATAACTTCTCCCTTTTAGCAATGTCTAGAGTGGCTCTCCAGCCAGGCTATAGCCCCACTGGCTGAGGCTCATAGGCCAGAGGTCTTCGTGTACTCCAGTGGGAAAGTTAGGAGCCCAACCTGCAGAAGAACATGAGTCAGTCCAAGGCCTGAATGCACTGCCCAACTGTCCTCTGATTCTCACTCTTAGGAGACTGTGAACTGGGCCCTGAGACCTGCTGTAACAGCTCATAGCAGGTCTGGCCTGAGTGTTCTATTCTGCAGGAAGGTACCTGCTCACCATGCAGTGGGGGCAATGTGGGAGCCCAGTGGGGTGCACTGAGGCCTCTCCTACTAATATGTATTTGGCTCTCATTGTAGTTCTGAGAGACACCGGAGAGCAGAGCCTCAGAACCACACTGCAGCTCCTCCTGGAGTCAGTCTGAGCTTTGTGAGTGGGCAAGCCAGGACCCAGCACTCTGCGTTTCTCTAAACCACACTTCCCTCTTGGATCTTCAGGGCAGACCCACACTCCACTGACGGATAACCCTTGGAGTGGAAGGAAATGTGCATTTTTCTTTCTCATCCTTCGGAGTGAAAAGTTAGATAGGAATAACTGTTGACTTCTCACCTTTCTGGGTGTCATGCTCTCAGGGATTTCATCTTTGGTGTGCTCATCAAGTTATACTTTTCTATCCTAGATGATGGATTTGGATGTCCTTCTATGAAGCAATGCCACGTGGTCCAAAAGCAAACATGTCTGGTAAGTCACGTGTTGAATTGACTGAGTAGTAGCTCAAGTCTTTGGGTGTGTAGATGTAGACAGAAGATTGTGTGTTTGGGCATATGGATACCTTTGAGGGGGTGTTCTTCACAAGGCTAATAATAGCTCTGTTGGTTATCCTAACTTGTGAAGTCTAGTTCCTTCTAGAACCAGCAGGGATTGAAATGCATGGGGTTAGACAAACCTGAAGTTCCCTTCTTGCTGTTTAACCTACTTCTGAGAGCATAGTGGAAGCTCTGTGCTGAACCAGGGCGGCCTCATTCTGACCCGGCTACAGTGGCATTCTGTCACGACCTCTTCCGTCCCCAGTGCCTTACTCTTTGGTTAAAGGTAGGCTTGACACTGTGGAAAAGTTCTGAGACCAAGACACACCAGAACTTGGGTAGCTGAAGGAAGGGAAAGTCAGGCTAGAGCTTCAGGCTTTGTCTTCCCATGTTCTGCCTCAAAGGTGGGCAGTGCCTCTGGGCAACAGAGATCTTCACATGGTCTTTGTCATAGCAGAGGTTGTGCTGTGGGAGTTGATAGATGATTGTAGAGATTCTATGAGACTTGCCAATAGGATGCTAGAGAGCAGCAAGAAAGCCATAAAAGCCTTATTTTATGATTACAGTTAGGCCATCATGTAATGTGGCCCATTTTGGTCGAAGGGGATCCTGTGGGTCCACAGTACAGAGGGGTGGGGAGGAGGAAGAGAGTAGAAGGTAAGAGACATTACAGAGCAGTTCCACACATGTCACGAGAACTGGGTTCAGCCTCTTGCCATAGCTCCTGTTCTCTTGGCATAGGAACACAATTTCTCCATTGTCACGCTCCTGACTCCTATCTGTGTTTGCCCCTGTGTCCTAGGGCTGCTGCCGTCTTAGGAATCCAGGGCCTGGAGACAGCTCTTCCTTGAGGAATCAGGAGAGGTGTGACCCAGGAACAAGAAGCATATCCTCACCAATGACATCATGACAGCAAGAGAGCACAGCCCTCGCCATGGTGCCAGGGCCCGTGCGATGCAGCGGGCTTCCACCATCGACGTGGCAGCCGACATGGTGGGCCTCTCTCTGGCAGGTGAGCCTCAGGCCTATACTAGGCATCTGGTTAGGAACTTGAAGGACTCGGGCTCCATGCTGTAACACTGTTGGAAGGGCCAGGGACAGCTGGTGACTAAGCCATTGGGAGAGGGTGTCCTGGTGTTGTAGCCTTCTGGTTGGAGTAGGACTCAAAAGGTGGGGACAGCTAGAGCCCTGGGAACTGGTCTTGTGAGACTGATCATCATTCCTTTGCCAGCTTGGGTGAGCACCCTGGGCTTGCCTCCCAGTAGGCAAAATGGAAAGGGGTCTGAGATTTCTTCAGAATCTCTAAAGTAAACTGTTTCAAAGTATAGAAATCATCTACTGTAATATTTTGGGGTGGGCTAGAGGGTTAGTGTTTCTTGTTTCTATTTTTGTGCAGAACAAATGCAAGCTAAATTCTGGGGAAGGTTTGTTTTGGGTGACTTTGTCATTTCTCTTCTACCAGGAAATATCCAAGACCCAGACGAGCCCATTTTAGAATTCAGCTTAGGTAGGTACCTCTTTCTTGGTTTTTGTTAGTTAGTCTGTCTCTGAGAACTACTGAGTGCTTCTGAGTGCCGTCACCACTGCTGAGATGTTTCTGAGGAGACAGAGCATCTCAGAGGCTGCTTCTCATAACTGACCATCTTCCTGTGGCAAAGCCACCTGCTGATGGAGATTTGAGTTGTGTCTAGTGGAGACTATTATGAATAAAGTTGCAGTCAGTGCTTGGGTGCCAATACTTTCGGGGGGGTAAATGTTCATGCTTTAATGAAGTATTTGGAAGGCTATGTGGTGCTGAGTTTGTGTACAGAGCAGGCTAAGTGAGCTCCAGTGCAGTGACCGCAGGGCTGGGCACACTGTTTCACATCTGGTACAGGAGTCAATTGTCTCTTTGGAGGGAGTGGATGGTTGCTTTCTACAGGGGAAGTGTCACCTGAGTGGAGGCGTATGCCTGGCAGAGTGAAGATGAGGGCCAGGGCAGAGGATGGAAGAAGCTTGCAAGAGTTTGGCCTCGGGTTCCCTTTACCTATAGGGGTGGTGGGGTGGAAATGTTCTCAACGGTGGGAGTGGCTATGTGGACATAGGAACTTCTAAAACTCATTGAGCTGTACACTTCAAATGGGTGTGTGCTGTAAGAAATGCATACCTCAAAAGTGCTTTAGAGGAAAACAGAAGTCAAAGACTACCAGCCCCATGTGGTAGGCCTACAGCAGGAACCAAAACCAGAACTTGGATAAAACAGGTATTGCAGAAGTAGAAGTAAACACCAAAGAAATTGTAATACACCTTCTAGAAAGGAGGGAGTGCCTCTCTGTGCTCAGTGACGGGGTACTGCTTATAACAGGCAGCTGAGGAACAAGTTTAAAACCTAACAGATGAAATTTACAAATCCAGTAAAGCCAGGGAGATAGCCAAGAAATGGTCTCAGCAAGCAACATAGGAAACAGGAGAAAGCTGGACGGTCCAGGATGCCCATCATTTAAAAGAGAAAATGGAAAAACGAACACAAAAGAAGTTTAAAATAATGCAAGAAATCCTTCAGAACTGTAGAATATGAGTCTAGTTTAAAAATACTTGTCAAGGCATCTTGTTTTCCATGAAGTCTGGAAAGTACCTGGCTGTCATTTTGTCAAATGTTCTTTCTCCCCGCCCCACTTTTCCCTCTCCTTCCGGAACTCTGATTAAACCTATGTTGGTGAACTTGGTGATCTTCCAGGACTCTCTGAAACTGTTTTTTTTTTTTTTGTCCTTTTTATTTCTTTCTGTTCTTCAGACTAAATAATTGTAGTTGACATCTCCAAAGATGCTGACTCTTTCTTTGTCTGCCCACAGTTGAGCTGCTCTTAATGATTTTTCATTTCCGTTATTGTACTTTGAATATTCTCTACATGACTAGTTTTATGGTTTCAATTCCTTCACTGATACTCTGTATAACAAGACATTTTCCTCATACTTTACCTAGTTTCTTAGTAAGTCAAACATCTGCTCATTAGTAGCCTCTCGTCATGTGTGGATCCTGGAGTGACTGCTAGGTCACTTAGTGGTCAAGTTCAATTTGAATGGATATACTACATATATTGGAGACACTGTGTAGCCCTAGATGGCCTGGAACTCACAGAGATCTCACACCTGGCTGGATAGAAAACTCTTTAAAGCTCAAAGAACTAAAGACTTTTGGTGTGAGTTTTGCTAAGTGTGTGTGCGCATATTGTTCCACATCTTCAGGGTTCACTTCCTGCTTCTGCTGACCACCAAGGGTGGGTAGTCTAAGGTGATCACTCATCATCTCCTCAGTTCTTTTCTGAGCATTCAGATGTCCTCAGACATCTGCATAACCCCCTACGTGTGCTGGCTTCCATGAATGTCAGAGCTTTGCAGAGGGCCTGGTCCTGTCCTTCACTGCCTAGCTTTTCTTTGAAGTATTCATTCTCTGCTAAGCTTCTCTGGTCACCTGCTTGTCTGCCTTACGTGTCAGTATTGTCCTCTTCAGCTGCAGTATTTAAAGAAACAGTGACTGATTTGGTTGCTGCTGCCATCGTCATGGTAAAGATGCAATCAGGACTTCAGGTGCTCCACCACTGAGCTGCAAGTCCAGCCCAGCTTGAGCTTCAGCCTGATTGCTTCTGATGGACAGTCTCAGGAAAAAAAAAAAAAAAGCTGTTTCTTTCCACTATGTAAAGACAAGTTTGTTTGTTTTCCTTCCAGAAATGGTCAAATAATGATTGTTATCTTAAGAATGGGGCTATAGAAGGTCTCCAATCATATCCTGTCCATTATGGTGACTTCTGACTACTGGTTTTCACCATGATTTCAGGTGGCCAAAGACTGGCCAACAGAAGACTAGTTAAAATAAACAACATGGCCCTGCAGTCTCTTCTGTAGCATCTGAAATAATGAGGCAGGGCCCATATCTATTAACATTAAAGGATGCCAGCGACTTTGGTACATGAGAAAAGCCTATCAGGAATATTGGGATGACATATTTCTAAGTAAATCCATTTCTACCACCAATTCGTTCAAACTCTGTAGGTCTCACTCTGCTGAGTGAACGGCCAAACAAACACTGGAAGGCTGTAGACCCCAATCCCCAGATGGTTCTCTCGAACAGTTTTCTCTGAATGAAAGCTTTTACAACAATCTGTTGTCGTTCAAAAATTTCCAGTTTCTTTGATTGATTTTTTTCTTTTACAGTTCAGAATATTTGCCTATTTAGTCATCTTGCTTCTGCTCATCTGAGAAGCAGTGAGGCTGGGGTGGAGGTGAGATCCACTTCCTGAAATCCCTCCTCGCCCGCCACCTTCTTAGGCTCTCCTCCTGGGCAAGTCTCACTGCAGGGCTCCATCACTGCTTCTGATTTGCTGGCTGAGAAATGTCGTGGATGTCTCTTCATCCGTTTTCTATATTCAGTCACTTCAGTTGCAGCTTTTGGTTAAAGTCACGTTCTACATACTGACACTTAAGCAAACACTGCTTATCAAAAGCCACATGGGATTTCTTTACCCTCTGCCCAGTGTGAACCGTTTCTTGGGAACAGTGTCATTTCCCACCTCAGGTTACCCCATTTTGGGTCAAGCACACTCTTCATCCAGGAAATGGATGTGGGGGAAGAGAAGCTATTTGGAAAGCTGTTTGAGACTCCTCGGAGCTGACACTCGCAGCCTCTGGCTGTTCGGTTCCACTGAGTTTGCATGGTCAGAAAATTCCAGTGGAAATACAATTAAAAGTGCTTTCTCAGTCTTCTGGACTTTTTTTTTAATTGGTAGTAGTAGTGGGGTGTGTGTGTGTGTGTGTGTGTGTGTGTGTGTGTGTGTGTGTGTGTGCCCAAATCTCTTGGAGCTGGAGTTCCTGGCATTTGAGAGCAGCCAGACATGGGTGCTAGGATCTGAATTCCATCAGTCATGCTAGAGCCTCATTAGGGCAGCAAGCTCTCCTAACTGCTGAGCCATCTCTCCAGCCCCAGCTGGAGATTTTAAGATCTTAGTTTTATTTCCCATGTTCTGAAATTTCATCAAGATAAAACTTGCTAAATGTCCTTTTCAATCAGAACCGAGATAAACCCCAAAGAGATCTATACCTGGATTCATCCTAACTAAACTGTCGAAAACCAAGGACAGAATTTAAAAAGCAGCAACCAACTGTGAGCTACACAGTTAGTCCCTGCTTAAGAATACTGGAGGAGGAGGGGGTGGGAGGAGGAGGAGGAAGAAAAGAAGAAAGAAGGATGAGGTTCAGAAGCATTGCAAATTCTTAAAAAGGCAGCCAAACTAGGATTACATATTCAGCAGAGAAGTTCAAAACAGATGAAGACACATGTTCAACAAAAACTAGTTCACAAGTGTTTACAACATTGTGAGTAGTAACCAAGAGGTAGAACAGTCAAAGCATCCACCAATGGAATAGTATGTGGTGTGTTCATTCAGGACTTACTCATTAATAGAAAGGAACAAAGTACTGATAGATGCTGTAGCATTAGCGGGGCTCAAAAAGCTGCCGAGTGGAAGAAGACAGCCACAAAAGGGCACACCCCACATACTCCTACTATATACAGATGTCCAGAGGAGACAGAGCTACACAGAAAGAGATTAGTGGTTTCTGGGGGTTGGAGAAGAGGGATGATGAGCGGTTGCTGGTGGGTATAGATTTTTTTCTTTTGAAATGTGGCTATATTAAGGAAGTAGACGGTTGTAATGGTTATACAATTCTGTGAGGACTTTGGGATGATGAATTATCTTCATAAAAACACTGAAAAGCCAAAGGTATTCCGTTGAAGACTGAGTTCATAAATAACAACCCCAATTCAAAAAGTATCAAGAGGCATAGATTATAGATTTTTGAGTGAGAGATAAGACATAATTTGGCATTGTAACCTTTGGTGGCTAACAAATCAGAGATCAGAGTTGAGAGAGACAGAAAGAGGAACACAGACTCAAAGTAGCAGAACTGTCTTTCCCTAGTAGAAGGGCTGGCCGAAGACCAGTGTGTCCACCAGCAAGTGTCTCCTGAAACTTGCAAATTCTCAGGGAAAGAGAAAAATCTTACATGCTTCTAGATGAAAAATAACATTGCAAATTCTTAAAAAGGAAGCCCACCTAGGATTATGTATTCAGCAAAACCAGAGACCTTACATAGCCCCCATTCTTAAGATAACTATCATTATCTGGCCATTTTCTGAAGGAAAAGAAAAAAAAAAACACTTGTAGGGCTTGGCTATATTTGGCTTAAGCCAGAGTTTATTCAGTAGAAAAAAACATTTTTCCTGAGAATGTACATCAGAAGATGGACTGGGCATGGTGAACATACCTTTAATCCTAGCACTTGGGAAGCAGAGGCAGGCCAATCTCTGTGGGTTTGAGGCCTTCTAAGTCTCCATAGTCAGTTCCAGCCATCAGGGCTACATAGTAAGATCGTGTCTCAAAAACAAGCTAACAATGCCCACAAAAGACATGAAAGTGCTTAATCTATTTGTATTCAAGAGAAAACAAGGGTTTAAAACTTAGAGTTAAGCATTTTTCCCAAGCTAATAAAGTAAGAAAGAAGATTTCTAGGTGCATGATAGTAGAAGTATTGGAAGTCAAACTCAGGGAAAGTATAAAAACTGCCAACACACACACACACACACACACACACACACACACACACACACACACACACACACCGAGAGAGAGACACAGAGAGACAGAGACACAGAGACAGAGAGAGAGAGAGAGAGAGAGAGAGAGAGACAGAGAGCTCATCATAGCAATAATTAGACTGACTTCTGGTTTTGTAGCAGGAAAAAAATAGAAACTCTGAGACAATATATTTAAAAGTCTTAGGGAAAATAACTACCTCGAGAAAATATCCTTCAGTCATTCAGGTGCAGTAAGAATGTTCAAACCTTAAAAACTGAAAGGATGTGTCAGCCCCTAGCCTTGCAGTCTCAACAATGCTATGGGGTGCTACTCAGGAGCAGGCAGATGATTCCAGATAGAAATTCACGGTAGAAAAGATTGAGACTCCAAAACCGGGAGGGTGTCTCTCTAGCTAAGTGAACAGTGACTATAAAATGGCACATGAATGTGTGTGTGGTGGGACAGATAACTGGTGCAGTAAGGTTAATGGTAGGTACTGAATAATTACAGCCCCAAAAAGTGATTTGTCTTTGGGCAGTATATTAGTTATTTTTCTGTTGCTGTGATAAACACTATGACCAAGGCAACTTACAGAAGAAAGAGTTTATTTGGGATCCAGAGGGAAAGTCCATGATGTAGGGGGAGGCATGGCAGCGAGCTGTAGCCATGTTGGCTGGAGCAGAAGCCGAGGTCTTCCACCGTGAACCTCAAACACTGAAAGAACAACTACTAGTGGGGAGAGGCCTTCAACTCTCCAAGCCCTCCCTAATGATGCACTGCCTCCAGTAAAGCCTCATTTCCAAACCTCCCCAGAGAGTGTCACCAACTAGGATCTCAGTGCTCAAATGTCTGAGACTATGGAGGGGTACTTCAGGGGACAGTGATCATGAAGAATTCACTGCCTCAGCTACAGTTACAGCAAGGCATTGGTCTTCTCTAATCTACAAATGTGCATCTCCTCCTGCCTTATTTTCTTAATTCTTTCAGGTTTTTCTTTTTTTCATTTTTACTGTCTTCCTGCCATCTTGTTCTTGGCATGTCTCTTACCAATGGTGGCTGTGAGGGTGTCGTGTAGAGTTAGAGTTGGTGGTGTGTGTTTAGTAGGGCTGAAAACACAGATCACATGGTAACTACCACTTTGACTGTTGTAAGTGTACATGGTGGCATTAGATGCGTTTGCACAGCTGTACAGCTGTCACTACCTCTAGCCCAGGACTTTTGTTGTCTTGAAAAGCTGAAAGACTTAGTAAATTTTAGTGCCCTTCTTAGTTTGTAAAGACATTTTATGCGCACCTGTAAGACACTGACAGGTGTCTGGGGCGGGGGTGCAGGTGGCTCTAGTGGAAGAGAGGAGTGGGAGACCAGCTGTGTGGAAGAGGCACCGGAGGGAGACCGTGTAGGAGGGGTTTGTGGTCTCCAGCCAAACCGACTCAGCAGATGAGTACACACGAACACACGCGCGCGTGTGAACGCACCACGCATACATGCACTCACTCACTCTACCTGGTCCCCATAAGAGAGTTCATAGAATTCCCTGGAACTGGAGTTCCAGTCAGTTGTGAACTACCATGTAGATGCTGAGAATTGAACCTGGGTCCTCTGGAAGAGCAGCTGAATATCTAGCCCCTTAATATCTTTCAAGTAAGGAAATGTTGAATTCTTATCGATGGCATATTCAAGTTCAATGGCTGAGCATTTTCTCCCCCTTTCAGTTATTTTTGTATCAGGGAGCATGTGGGAGTCAGTGCGGTGTGATAATTCTTCCTGGGGTCATTTTTGTGATAGACTTGCTTCAGACTTAGGATGTAGTTTTGAGGTCATAGTATGACAGATTTATCTAACTGAAATAGTCCAACTTCTGTTTAGTTCTAAAAAGAAACATTCAAGAAATCTTACATTTGATATGGGTTATAAGTATTGACTTTTCCTTTTGGAAAGAGCTTTATTTTGTTATAGAATTTTAATTTTGTTAATAGCATCATCTATATGTCGGGATTCAAGGGTTATCATACTTAGCCACAGCAGTCATAATCTGCAGGCATGTGTTGCCTGGGAGCTCATTTGTTGACTCTGAATTCCACTCTCTGGGAACCTGAAAGGCCACCCTCAGCACAGGCTCCACTCCACTCATGCCTTACTATATCGTGAGGAGGGAGAAGGGAAACAGAGTGAGAAAACAGGCTTTCCTAATCCCCTCTCTTGCTGGCAGTGGGACCGTGGTGTCCTTGGGGGTATTATTTTAAGCTTTCTGTGGGTTTGTTTAGAGCAATGAACTAACTAAAACTTGGTGCAAAGGGTTCTTTTTCCCGTCTTGATCCTGTAGCTTGCAGTGAGTTGCACACTCCATCGCTAGATCGGAAACCAAATAGTTTTGTGGCTGTGAGTGTCACCACCCCTCCGCAGGCGTTCTGGACGAAGCATGCGCAGACGGAGATCATCGAGGTGGGTGCTGCTGGTCCCTCTCCTTCGAGGAACCCGCATGCTCATGGCTGTCTGTGGCCCTGGCAGAAGGGCTGTTCAGTTCTTGGGCATCTGAGGCTTCAGTTCCGTTTTTGTGAGTTATTTCCCATGACTTTCTGTTCGTTTATACTTTCTGTCATGCTCCCCCAGGTGTCCCTTAGTCGGCCACATCCTTCATGAGTTCTGATGAACTATTGGTTGCTGTTCTAAAGATGTGATCCTATGGCTGGTTTGCCTTTAAGAGATGAGACCCAACTCTTCCTGTCACTTCCAGTTGGCTGCTATCATTATTACTCATTACTCAGTGCCTGGGAGAGTGTTTCCTATTAGACTGGGACATGGCTGTGATTTTATCAACTTTCACTTTTGCATTCTTTTGTGTTTTGTGTTGTGTGCTTTTTAAAATAATTTATATAGCTTTACTTAGGAAAGTTTACAATATTTTTAGGTAGTTGAGTTATATATGTATATATGTATGTATATATATATGTATGTATGTATATATATATCATTTATGTATATGAGTTATGACATGAAGTGTAGGAGTTTCACAGGGCTTTATTTGTAATATGAATAATTACCAATTTATTACCAATTATTACCACATTAAGCTCCATTTTTATTTTTTATATTTCTGCATTTTTATATAAGAACATAATAATATATAATTTGATCTCAAGTTTTCTGTTTAGAAACCAGGCCCTTCTGAGAGTCTCTCAGAAGCTTATTTCCAAGTCAGGCTGTATATGGTCTAAGCACTTGTTGAGCAGTGGCCTCATGCCAAGCACTGTACTAATTGTTGGTACCAAACCCACAAGGGCACAGTCCTTGCCCTCAAGAGTTTCCCATGGGGGAGGGGCTGAAATTTACCTGGTCACTTCCATGCACAGGAAAGCATGGGGAGCATTGGGGTATCAGGGTGAGGACACAGGAGCAGTACCCTTCCAGCAGGCTTCCTAGGTAGGACTTCAGGGAATTCTGCCACAGCAAGCCCAGGTGGGGTCCTGGCTCTGCACATCTTGTAGGTAAGTCTGTTGTACATAGTTATGTGAAGGCAGGGTGATAGCAGAGCATCATGGGAGTTTTAAGAAATAACTATATCTTTCTTGGTGTGTGCAAGAAGCAAACTTTGTAGGCTGAGCTAGGGTACTTGGGATCCGCACAGTAGCCAGCTCTGCAGGACTTGTGCAAGGACATCTCATGACCTGACAGGTGTCTGGGGGGTGTGTGTGCAGGGTGCCTCTAGTGGAAGAGAGGAGTGGGAGACCAGCTGTATGGAAGAGGCATTGGAGGGAGACCATGTAGGAGGGGTTTGTGGTCTCCAGTCAAACCTGCTCCACAGACAAGGAGTACCAAGGCTGAGTCCCAGATCTTCAGCCTGCTTTCCCAGGGCACATGGAGGGAAGATGGGGAGGCCTCAGCAGAACCCCTAGGAGGGGCTGCCCAGCAGGTACTGAGAGACTAGATGGCTGCTGAGGGTGGGGATGCGGGGCATCACTCAGGTACAAAGGGGGCCCAGTAACTGTTTGGCTGAGGTACTTAGCATTGCTGAAAGAGCGAGAAGGGTATGATGGATCGCTGAGGCAGAGCTGCCAGAAAATAGACACCTGTGATCTAGAAACTAGAACCTGTCCTAAAAGAGGACTGCTCTTAAAAGGTCAGCTTTAATTATTCCAAACACAGGATTCTAGAAATAATCACTGAAACTGGCCATTTCCTCTTTGTCTGCCTGTGCACACAGCTGTCAGGAACAGCCCTAAGTAACAGTCGGAATATATAGCACACTGAAAACCGTACTGCCAAGAATACATGTGGCTGGCAAACCCAAACTCATTTCAGGTTAGAAAAGCCTCCCCTGAGCGGGAAACCTCTAGGAGTGAGTCCTCTGCACAGCGTCTGCAGGGGGCGGGCCTGTTTGTCATGTCAGATCATGACGAGATAGCTTGTCAGGCTGTATTCCCTCTTGGAAAGCAGGTTCTGTGGCTGGTGTCTTGTGCTGTCATTAGTGTTTGTGTTGAACAAATCAGTAAAACTGTTGATTTCCTCATTCAGAAAATGTTAGGACGGTTTAAAAACAATTCCTTAAAATAGAATCCACCTCTGTTTTCTGTTCTAGGGAACCAACAATCCTATCTTCCTGAGCAGCATCGCCTTCTTTCAAGACTCCCTCATCAACCAGATGACACAAATCAAGCTGTCTGTGTACGATGTCAAAGATAGATCTCAGGGAACAGTTAAGTAACTCGCGGTTTGGGAACAGTCTCCCTTCACTAATAGTTATGTAACAGTCCGAGCAAGGTGTGAGCACAAGATTGAGTTCACTACTGCCTTATGAATTAAGCTACATCAGAGCACACTTGTGTCTTGGAATTCACTTGTGAGCATTGTGATGCGTTCATGAGGTGAAGGTGGGAGGGGGTGTTATAGGAACCACCCAGTTTCCCTGTGTTGCGGTATGTGGATCAGAGGGACACCAAGTATCCTTATACTGCTTCTCCCTGTCTCCCTCAGATGTATTTACTGGGCTCTGGAACATTCGTTGTCAAAGATCTGCTCCAGGACAGGCATCACAGATTGCATCTGACACTGAGGTTGGTGTTTGCTTTGTTTGAAAGGGTCTGAAGTTTTGCCCCTCCATCCTCCTAGAGACTGTCTAGGGGGAGACAGTAGTGTCTGCCGAGGAGAGAGTCTGTCAGGATGGTGCCTTGCTGCTCTCAGGATCCTGATGACCCAGGATGGCTGAACTTTGCCTTCAAACTAGTTCTTATCAAGGCACGATGCTTGTTGCAGGTCTGCAGAGAGTGACCGAGTAGGTAACATAACTGTGATCGGCTGGCAAATGGAGGAGAAGTCCGACCAGCGGCCCCCTGTGACCCGGTCTTTGGACACTGTCAACGGGAGGGTGAGTGGGCACCTTTCTCATCTCCCTCCTATCTCCGTATAGGAGGATTGAATATCTTCGTGCCTATCTGTGCTCAGTCAGGGGCAGGGCCTGCTGTTTGATACTGCCTTCCATGGGCTCCCACGTCCTTCTTGGGTATGATGTCGCATGGAACGGAAGGGCTCCTGTCTGACATACAAAGCCCTGCTGACCTGGAACTAGTCTGTGCTCTCTGTACCACACTGACCACTTCTATGACACAGGATCGAGAGCAGAATATCTTGTCTAGAGGCATATATGTGGGAAGGTGTGAGTGAAGAGGTGATGAAGACCTGTGCCCCCCATTATATTCTGGTAGTAACTATCTTTCCTAGACACAGTCACCTCCTTCACACCTACTTCGTCTCAGGACTGTCCCTTCCTAGCCTCTGTCTCCTCATAGCCCACACAGTCTCTCACCCAGACACTATTACCAGATGAGAATTCCAATGTAAGAGCGCAGCACTATCAAGGAAGCATTATAAAATTCAAAGCTACCTTATTTTGCCTGAAGTATGCTTAGGACACTAGCACTAAGGATATTCTTGATACCAGAACACTGAGACCCGAGATGAAATCACTTAGAAGACAGGCATGTAATGAAAAGTGGGCATGCGTGGAGTATGGGGAGGGACGTCAGTGTGTATGGCTGGGCAGCTTGTACACTGCACATTCAGCTGTCAGGTCTTGTGTGATGCACGAGGCCTCATTTCTGCGGCCGCTCTGGAGTCCTCGGTCTCAGTGTTCTTCTGCTTTTCTGAACCTGTCATCAGATGGTTCTGCCTGTTGACGAGAGCTTGACCGAGGCATTGGGAATCCGATCCAAATATGCTTCTTTGCGAAAAGACACCTTGCTGAAATCAGGTAAGCAGCTTCTTCTGTTGATGCCCTTGCCTTTCTTGTGACTGTCCATGTGCCGTGGTTGTCACAGACATGCCCCCAGTCCTACGTCTGCTGCTGTTCTTCAGTACAGCATTTCCCACAGTATGCAGAGTCGTGATCCCTTAAGGAAGGGCCTCCTTATTTCACTCTCACTTGACATTGCCGTTAGTGACTGACAGTGCTCCCGCCCAGCTCCTTACACTTTAGTTACTTCCATCTTCTGACATAGGGACGAGGGTCGGTACAGCCATTTGTCGGGGCTTGGTTTAAGTGGTTTTTTGGTGTTTGTTGTTGTTGTTTGCTTGCTGGTTAGCTTTCTTGGGAAAACAGGGCTTGAGGGTCCTTGAGGGCCTGAGTAAGGGGAACCATGCAGGCAGGTCTACAGCCATTTCACCCACAGCCTATCTTGTGTTCCCACCAAAGTGTTCGGTGGCGCCATCTGCCGCATGTACCGGTTCCCAACCACTGATGGCAACCACCTACGGATCCTGGAGCAGATGGCAGAGAGTGTCCTCTCCCTGCACGTGCCTCGGCAGTTTGTGAAGCTGCTGCTGGAAGAAGATGCAGCCAGGTGAGCCACATGGAGAGGATGAGCACGCACCACCCCATGTCATATGCACATGCCTTAGGCTCTGCAGACCCAGGTTCCATTGCATGCTGGCTTTGTGGCCCTAGCCTTCCAAAGCCTTAGTTTGCTCCTCTGACTCACAGATTGTTCTTGAAGCCCCCGAGGCTTGGCTAACGTCAGTGCGTCTTCCCTTTGCCTGTGTCTTTTTCCTCTCATTCATCCTGTTTGGGGCCACAGAGATAAGAGCTCGGAAGACGATCCTCCAGGGTACTCTCCTTCCACAGAGCAAAGTTCTCATCCTGGGCATATTTTTTTTTTCAGTTCCAAGTAAGGGTGAGGCTATTTCCTGTTTATCTCAGACTATGACTTCCACACCTTTTTCTAAATCAATGTTAAACTGATTAACTAATGTAAGCAGAGTCCCAGTATCCTAAAACAGATGTTTCCATTTTCACCCTGGAAAAAATCAAAATTTGAGAAAAATAACAAGAATACAGTGAGTACCACATACCTTTCATCTAAATTTTATAAACTAGTATTTTGCTGTTTTATTCTGTCTATGTACATATTTGTATCCTAATTTTAATGTATAGTTGTTACTTATCCACACTTATATAGCTATTGTCAGTTTCTGGGCATCTTCCGTTTTCATAGTTTAATTGTCACCACACTGGGGTTGGGGTGTATGTGCCGTGGTGTCATGTGGAGGTCAGAGGACAGCTTTGTGGCTCCGTCCTCTCCTCTCACCACGTGGTTCTTGGGGCTCTAACCCAAGCTGTCAGGCTTAGCAGCAGGCGCCTTCATCCACTGAGCCACCCCCTTCACTCTCATGTTGTGATCTTTTGCTATTGCCTGCCTTCCGTTTCACTGTGCATTACTGCTGGAAAGAGCCCCTTCATTAGGCAGGGGCTTTAGAGCCAAGTGGTTGGCAGCATTCAGTGTGGGCAGCAAGGATGCTCAGAAAGGGAGATGGGGGCCACTCCCCGAAGTGTGAGACTGTCGCTGTGTGCTTGACATGGAGAGGGAGTTGTTAGAGTGAGGGTGGGGAGGTGAGTGGTTTCTCACATCCCCTGTCCCTTCTGTTCTGGAATGTCATCCTCCTGCAGAGAACTGTACCAGTGCCTGAGAGGTACCTTCAAGGTCAGCAGGCAGAGCTACTCCTTAACTGCTCTTTCCTCTCCCCACACCCACTGTTGGCCTTGAGCATGGACCCGAGTTCCTATAAAGTTTCTCCATGTGCTTCCCATGTGCTCAGTGATCACTCGCATCACCTTGTGACTGGCCACTTGATTGCCCCTTAGACTGGCGGTGTAACTGCTGGCTGGGCCCCCAGAGCAGCACAGCTGCTTCTCCTGTACTCTATGGGTTCTCGTCACAGTTCCAGGGGAGGTGAGTCAGCCCTGTGGCCTGCTATGTGTGTCTTGTTTACAGAGTGTGTGAGCTGGAAGAGTTGGGGGAGCTGTCTCCTTGCTGGGAGAGCCTCCGGAGGCAGATTGTCACCCAGTATCAGACCATCATCCTCACCTACCAGGAAAACCTGACTGACCTCCATCAGTACAAAGGTGGGTGTGCTGTTGTCCTCCCAAGGTGCGTGCATAGCCCACATTCCCAACCGGGTATCTGAAGGCCTGGGTTGCTCAGACTCTCACTGAGTATCTTGAGTGGGTTTTTAAAAATAGATTCTCATGTAGGTGTGAATTATTTCAACTCTGGGGTTTTCAGATCTTAATTAAAATGATAAATTGGTGAATTGCAAGAAGTCTTTCTATGGTGTTATTTCCTAAAACAGCCACTGTAGGATAAGGTTGAAGCAAGGCAGGTTCTTAGGTTATCTTGGTTCATGTGGGTTCTTCTTGGTCTTACACCACTCAGGACCAAAAGGATATGAGCTATCTGCCTGAAGCAAAGTAGTATTCTAGTTTAAATATTCAATGTCATTTTTACTGAATGTGTAAGTTGTCAGGGTGCAACTCTCTATTTTAAGGCTTAACAGAGAAATTAAAGTTCAGACAGCTCAACTTTTTTTTTTCTTACTTGCTTTTTCTTCTCCCCAGGCTGGAGGCTGGGAGTCAAGTCCAGGGCTCCCTGCATGCCAGGAAAGCACCCTGCCACTGTTTATTTTTGAAAATGATATTTGATTTTCAAACTGTGTGAATTTTTTAAATCTATTTTCTTTTTATTCCAAGTGGAATGAATTTTTTGTTTCTTAATTGTTTTAGTCTTTCAAAGTACTTTTTTTCTTATGATTTTTTTATAAAGATGCACTTTTATTTTATTTTTGAGATTATTATATAATTACAGCATTTTTCCCTTCCCTTTCCTCCTTTCTTTCAAAGTATTCTTTATCTTTGATGTCTTTTCTTCTATATAATGCTTTGTCAATTTAAGGAAACTCTTAAACCCTTAATGTGACTTTCATACAGAATATAAGAACTTGTCCATAAACTTAGCTGAGAGGAAATCAGAGCTCAGACAAGATTGTGGTGCGTGGGACTGGTCCAGGCTCAGACAAGTCCAAGTGCATCATTTAGAGAGATGGCAGCATTTGCTTGAAGGGTTGAGGCAGCTGCCCATGCTGGATAAACGCTCTTGAGAAAGTGTAAAATCCGTGCAAACTTGAGTTTACTAGGCTAGAGCTTCTAGATGTCAAAAGCACCCAGCTATTCTGAATCTTAGTTCAGTACAGGCCTTGGTTGTATTTCTTGCAATGTCACAAGACAGGCACACGGAAGGTCTGAGAGTCACTGTGTGGCTGTCAGACTCATGTGACAAAAGGCAGGACACACGGCTGCTGTCTGCAGGAGAGCCACAGATGTATCGTTTCTTGCTAGTTGGAATGTTGATTTCTTCACTCTTCTGTTGTCATTTGCATCTGCAATCCCTTTGGTTGATGGATATGTGATTCCTCATGTAGTTATGGATTCTGGATTCTGATTCTAGAAATAAGATGGTGGCAGCTGGTTACATCGTCTGAGCTCTCTAGGGACAAGCACGTGTGAGGGACTTACTGAGATGTACTGGAGAGGGCAGGCAGGCTTCAGGGCCATGTAACCTGGTTTATCTTGATGGACCTAAGGTAAGGAGCAAACCTGTCATCACTTCTGATTGAGATGTACTGTTTCATGAAGACCAGTTTCTAGGCTCTTGGATGGCAGCAATCTGTAGAGTTGTCTCTACAAGACTGTAGGTAGTCTCTGACATGGTCCACTGGCTTTTATAGTGGTGTTGGCATCACACTGCCTAAGATCACATCTGTGTGTCATGTCTGTGAGTTGAACTGAGTCACAGGAGGGATGGCCTCATCACTACTGTAACCTAAAGGTCCTTATTCCTGGCTCTGTTCACCAGATAGCATTTGGAGCTAGTCCCTTACCGTCTTGAGAGGCCACTCAGAATTTTCTAGGCCTCGGTTGAGATACACCTGTTTCCATGCATCAGCAGGTCTAGGTTACTGCTTTCCTACTGGTGCATGATCATGTTGATGGCTCTGTTTTCTTGTGTTCCATTTCTTAGGTCCTTCATTTAAAGCAAGCAGTTTGAAAGCAGATAAAAAGTTAGAATTTGTTCCCACAAACCTGCACATACAAAGGATGAGAGTTCAAGATGATGGAGGCTCAGGTACTTATTTTTCTTACCCTGTTGTTGAATTGCATTTCACTCCTTCCTTCCAGTATACTTGTTCCCTGAGTTGCCCTGTATCTGGCCCATTTTTCCTGTATGTTCCATTGCTGGGCAGCAAGAGAAAACAACACACACACACACACACACACACACACACACACACACCCCTACCTTTGAAGAATTTCAGTTACAGAATCCAAACCTCTTCCTTATATATCTTCAACTTCCTTTGGTTTTTATGGCAGCAAGTTGCCCATCAGTGAGCCTTTCCCAGAAGGGGTAGATGGCTTTACCTTCAGACGCCAACTTCCTTTCTGAATAGTTAGAATTGAGTCCAGCAAGCTCTTTATCAGCCTTAGCATGTAGGACCAGGGACTGTTTGCATGTGGGCTGTAGGGTCCCAGAGTGCTGTGCATATTGCTGTTGCTGGCCTGTCTGCAGACCTGATCCCAGAGTAATGGAGGAAAGCTTTCTGTCACTCAGATCAGAACTACGATGTGGTCACTATCGGAGCCCCAGCAGCCCACTGCCAAGGTTTTAAGTCAGGAGGTCTTCGAAAAAAGCTGCACAAGTTTGAAGAGACCAAGAAACAGTAAGTGAAGGAGGGTATTTGTGGTCCTTGTACAGCTGTGTCCGATGTTTGTGAGTTAAAATAAAGAATCAAAACAAAACCGCAAAAAACATGCAGCCATCTGATCTGCTTCTGCGTGGCTGGAGGAGCTGCCTTAGGGACCCCGTGCTACTGTGTGTGTGCATGTGGTTGAGTGAGTGAGTAGTGAGGGCACCTAATCAGTAGTCCAGTCTTTCCAGGTGAGTGGCATACAGAGAGCCACTCCTGAGTCTGGCCTAGGCAGCCGCCTGTATGTAATTCCTGCTAGCTCAGCTTCCTTTAGAATCTCTGGTCAGCCTCTGACAAGTCTATACTCTCAGGGGTCATTTCTATAATCCCTAAAGCCCCTGGCACTCTGTGTCCTTTCCTAAAGGATAGCATGGCACATATTCCAACTGTTGAAAGGATCCAGAGGGTTGTACAGTTTTGTCCTGAGCAGGATATTGCCAGATAGGCAGGGTGTGGAAAGGCCTCTCAGATGAAGCATTCCTTGGATATCTTTCAAAATGTCACCTGGCAAAATTTAAATGGATCCAAGGGGTATGAGGGGTGTGAGTGTAATACATGAGATGAGTGATGATCCTGTGAAGTCCTTTGGTAGAATGTGAGATGTAGAAAGTAGCAAAAGGTCTCAGTTTCAGGAGACTAATTATGGTCTGAGTGAGTTTGCGCCACTGTGGAACATGCATGTGTGTAAGGTGAGGTAGAGAGGAGAACAGAGAGGCAGGGCCAGTCCAGTTATCCCGGAAGGGACAAGGTGGCGGTAGGTGGGTTAGCAGTCCAGTTATCCCGGAAGGGATAAGGTGGCGGCAGGTGGGTTAGCAGAAAGGTCTCAAGGTGGGAGGGAGCAAGACAAAGGGTTACTGGGATGCCCCTGCAGACCATGATCTTGAGTTGAGAGTAAAGTGTTTGAGAGACATGAAGCAAAGGTCCAGGGAGCCCCCAGAGACTCCCACGTGGTGGCATGTAGAGGCAGGTGGAGGAAGGTGCTAGCACAAATGGGGGTGGATTGGTCATTGCCCGGTTCTGCTGCTGTGGCCAGAGTAAGGGTACTGTATGACTGGATCAGGATGCTGGACAGGTTAGAACAGTGGCCCATCGGGAAGACAGGTCGGAGTGCCACCGATGTGGGTGGTGAGTGAGCAGGGAGTAAGAGGACATTCTCGGAGAGGTTGCCCTTCCAGTGTGTCGACCAGCCCTGGGTGTGGAGGAGACGCCTGGCAGGGCTGGGCTCAGCAAAGCCTTTTCAGCATTCTAGTGAGGCCTTCAGACAGCCTTGATCACGTCCTACCGAGCAGACAAATTGCGTGGCCACACTTGCCTCGCCATTCATGTCCACAGCGTCCCAGGGAGTAGGAGGAAGTGCAGAGCTTCCACTGGCCATCCCAGTTCTGTGGAGTCAGCCGGAAGTGTGTGTGTGTGTGTGTGTGTGTGTGTGTGTGTGTGTGTGTGTGTGTGTCCTGCCATTGCCTGATGCTGTGTGGAAAGAGTGAATATATGAGCTGAGGTGGTCTGGTTTCCTGAGAGAGAAAGTCCATTCATTCTAGGTGACCAGTCAGGAGGGGACTCCTGGATATCCCTGGTCCCTGAAAGGTGGTAGTTTTGATACCAGATGACTTTATATTTTAGCTTCAGAACTTATTTTCCCAATGCCTCTTGTGTTTTTTCAAATATCTAGTACAGATGTTATGTAACTTTGTACTAATGTCATAAACCCACTTTCCGACAGAGTTTACTCTCGGAGCTCCTTTAAATGTGCATGTTCTGTGCCCTAGTGGGATATCCCTGGGGCTTGAGGACAGGCCACAAACTTGCTCCAGAGAATAAGGATTGAACTCATAAATTTATTTATTCCTGTAATCATAGCCTCAACAAATTACCTCTAAGTATTTTGAGAAAAAGAAAATCAGTCAGCGTTTAAATTTTGTTTTGCCTGTAGTATTTTGCTAACAATCGCTAATGCTTCGTTTTTGGTTTTTTCTTTAGCAGTTTTGAGGAGTGTTGGTGAGTTTTCTGTCTGTGGAGAGAGTGTATGTTGATTCGTGCTCTTATGCAGAGACAGCCTGTGCTGTCTTTCATCTGGGGTGGCTCCATCCCATTTGGCGCGTGGCTCTGAGTTACATGTCCTGTAGGCAGAGCTCTTCCTTCCAACTGCAATGTTCTTTGATAATGAATAGCCAGTCTGCAGTCTGTAGCCTGCAGCCTTCCTTTCAAACCTGACAGCAGTTTCTTCCTGCGCTCAGTAGAGACAGGGTCTAGTTTGCCTCCTCCCAGAATGCAGAAGAGCCCCTTTGGGGCCCTGGATGCTGGAGTATTGCATCAGCCTACTGGTACATTTGGTAACATATACCTTTACCCAGTGAACCATCTTGTTGATCCAAGGCTATTGGGAGCCTTTTTTTTTTTTTTCAATACATGGTAGGCAAAGATTCATCACTGTGCTTCACTCCAACCATTTTAATTTTTTTTTATTTTGAGACAGGGCTTGCTAAGTTTACCCAAGCTGGCCTTGAACTTGCCCTGCAGCCAAGGTTTTTTCTCAAATTTATAACCCTCCTGCCTCAGCCTTCAGTATCTGGGATTACAGATCTGTGACATCAGGCCCAGTTAGTCTTCATTTACAAGGGTTATGAAGCCTTTGAGTTTTCACTTTCCCTGTCTGATAGAGCCAGTTAATTTTCATAATACTTCTTAATTTGTGCTGACTTTAATGATGGTCTTGTTAAGGGCAGTTTACCCATTGGATAGCAGAAGAAGAGCTGAGAGACCCTTTCCTCCAGAGAACTAGATGGGAGCCAGAAGCTTCTATGTCTCCTAAGCTCTGTTCCTTAGTCCCAGACTGAGAAACCAGCAGCTCACCAAGAAGAGGCCCCACAGCCCTTGATCTAATGACCCATGAGGCTTCGGGGCTGGGGCTAGATCCTAGTTGAGATGCCAGGGCTCTGCTGGGAACACACAATGGCCTGAGGTCCTGAGAACCCACAAGCCCACCTAAGGTGAGGCATCACCAGTTTTCCCTTAAGGGCCCTTTCCTGGAGTCCTGAGGGATGAAAGAAGGCATCTGGGAGGGATGTTGCTCTGCTCCCCTTCCTCCATAGCTGTGTTATAGAAGTATCCCTTTTCCCTCCTGGGCTTCTCGGGAGGGAGGCTCACTCTTTTCCACAGCAGGATGAGTCAAATCCCTAATGCCCTGAGGGATAACCATGAAAGTATGACATGGAGAGCTAAGGGCCTCACTGCCCCTTGGTAAGTTCCAACCCAGGTATTTTATGTGAACCGTATCTGGAAAGTTCTTCAGATGCCATCTTAACTGAAACTCTAGACCTTGCACATCTCAGAAGGGCTTGGTTACTCCCATCCTTTCACTCTCTTCTCCCAGGATACTAAACATTCCCAAGACAGGTGGGGAACCTTCCCACCTGTGGCAAAGGGACACCCAAATCTGGGGTGGGGGACCCAGTTCCACAGGACTGTCAGCTATGCATTGACAGCCTTACTCAGGCTGTCCTGTTATCCAGAGTACCTCTGCATGTACTCTACTTACGCTTACATGGCATTCTGTGTTTAGCCCATGGCCTCCACTGTGAGGAGGTATGAGTCAGCAGCCCTGGGCTAGGGGTTTAACATAAAGCCCAAGGACCGCATATAGGCCACTGCCTCCTGGGCCTGTTGCAGGAAGAGTTGGGAGCCCAGATAATGAGTAGAACAGAGACCCCTGGAGGACTGTGTACTACAAGGCAGTAGAGCCTCTGCACCCCACCCCATTGCCTTGGTGTGGCTCCTGATTTTGGAGTTAACTAAATACATGCATTTACCTATTCCTGATGTCCCCAAGAGTAGTTCTTTGAACTTGCCCATTTGTACCTTCACCACGTGCTTCCATGTGTCAGTCCTAGAGGGGTGCTATAACAAGCCTTCTTAGAGCACAGGGTGAGTGTGGGGTTATGGGCACCAGTCAGAGTGTGTGCAGCCATGGAAATATGCCACAGTAGACCTACACACACAGCACATAGTACATATAGACTCTAAAGGTTGAGGACCAGTGAGAACAGATTCTTTTTTTTTTTTTAATTCTTCTTTAAAATGTTTTTCCAAGACCCGATTGTCCCAAGTGGGAGCTATTCATTTGGGCAAGAGGTTGCAGATTGGAAAGCAGCTCCTGCACGCAGTGCTGTGGAATGACTCTAGTGCTGCACAGGCTCATCGCCATCTGCTGCATGGGCTTCTGGCAGATCCATCATCGTCCGCTGTGGTGTGTGGCCTTGTGGTGGTGGTGTTTCTTTCTGGGGCAGTTTGGTTTGTGGTGTTTGCATGTTTGCCCTGTAGTCCAGAAAGAGAGAGGGCAGTGGCGGTTTCTTTCTGACTTGCTTCTGGGCCTCCCTGGAAAGGTCTCAGGTGACTCTCATCTCCAACAAGCGGGGGAGGGTGTGGTAAGGGTCACACTCTACTCTCCATATTGCCCCTCATTCCTGGAACTCAAGGCCACCCCTTTATTCCAGAAGGAAGGGGACAACATTCTGTCCAGAGTTCAGTATCCTCAAATCCTAGGAGACCTCTGCATTGGTGACTTTCATATCTCCTCCTTATTTTTTCAGGCATCCTCAGATGGTCTCAAAAACAAATTAATAATGTTTGATTGATTGAGACCTGAGCTAAGAGACATAAGCTTATTGTTGCCATCTTGGATGACCACACATGCTGACCTCACCCATGAAGCTAGGGCATATGGAGTTGGCCCCTCAGAGGCTCCTGATAAAGCTGGGCAGCAGCTGGCCTGGCACTTTGACATCTCGTTCCCATATACATATGCTGCTTGGTGGTGAGGATATGGGAAGGAGGAAGGACTGGGGTTTCAGAGGCACTGAGATGTTGGGCCTGCCTCTATTGGCAAGGTCTCTACTTTCTCTTATGGAATGCTGTTGTCAACATAAGGATGTCCTGAAACATAGGCGAGAGAAAGGAATCCCAGTGTTGGGAACTTGGCTGTGGTTAATCTGTAAGAGAAAGATGTGGGTTTGCTCACAGGCAGTCTAAAGGCCCTGATGGCCAAATAAAGAAGCAAACGTTAGGGTGTGGTTTTTGGTTCTTTGGTCCTCTGTTTTGTTTTAATATATAGTCCAACATCTATTGCAGTGTAGTAATTTGATCCTTTCTGGTGTAAGCAGACTCCACATCTCTATTGAAGGACTGCTTATAAGTTAATAGATGAAATTCCTAGGTAAGACCCCAGCATTGGGTAATTATTACAGTGACATTCCAATGCATTTATAGACATGTTCATGCTTGTAGTCAATATATAGACACAGGTACAAGTACACATAAAAGCCTTAGTCTTCTATATATATTTTATGCTTGTCATTAGATAAAAAAAAATACCTTCCAAGACTGACCTTACTAAACCTCTTTATTTTAGGGTTAGATACCTTTGTATTTTAGGATTAGTTGTGGGTGGGGTGGATGATTTTGGAGAGCCCCTTAGGACCTGTTGTTCCTTTTAGTACATCATCTAGCTGCCAGTCCATAATCTACATACCACAGGACATCATCCGAGCCAAGGAGATCATTGCCCAGATCAACACCCTGAAAACCCAAGTTAGCTACTACGCAGAACGGCTCTCAAGGGCAGCCAAGGACAGGTCTGCCACTGGCCTTGAGAGGACACTCGCCATCTTGGCAGACAAGGTAGGAGGGGCTGCCCAAATGCATGTGGGGTGGAGAGGTCCCTTGGGTTTCTGGAAGCTACTGGACCACCAAGGGCCACCCAGGCATGTCTAGAGCTGGCCTTGTGGCATTGTGATGACCTTGAAGGTTTCTCTTTTATTAGAGTCCACATCCCAGAAATTCACAGGGAAGTTTGGGGATCTGCCCATGGTCAGAAGCCCAGGTTGTGACTCTCAGGTGTGGCTTGAGGCCAGTGTGTTGATGTGTCTTCTAGCAAGTAAATCCTTGCATTTATTTTCTTGGGACTTGTTGCCCACATCAGCTTCCCTAGTGACTTCCTAGTCAGCACCTATGTAGTAGCAATTATTCAGACATAAGAAATGAACAGTATAATCCTATTGGCTTATACAGAATTAATTTTAAAAGTTCTGTCTAACATAACGCAGTCCTGATTAAAAAAATCTCCATACTGAGAGAGTGGCTATATCAGCTTCTGATGGATGGTCTTCTTTCCAATTACTCAGTCTCTTTCCCTTCACACACAGATTCTGATTACACCTCTCCACCCACACCTAATTTGCTGGGTAGACGCTGTTGTTCCTGCTCAGAATGTGTTATACTCTTCACATGAGTTTGCACAGTATAAAGACAGACCAGGACCACTAAGAAAGGAAGCTATAGTTGTCAGCAGTAAAACTAGGAATGGCAGAACTCCTGTTGCATACTCCAAGACCAGAAATGTAATACCAGGAGTCTAATAGTTCAGAGCCTGGAACATTCAAAAATGCTGTAGTGGTTGAACAAAAGTAAAGTGTGACTTCTGGGGACTAGCCTCTACCAGGCTGGGACACATTCCACCATGCTGTCAAGGCTGGAATATGAGCCCTTTCCTCTAGTGAGCTGGAGTCAAAGGCAAGCAGAGCTAAAAATGTCAGATAGGATTCTTCAGCCCCTTTTCTTCTTCCTTGACCACTTCTGGGATAACCAGATCTCAAGCACACCCCTGTGTCCTCTAGTCTACCAGGACATTCTTGCAGATACTATCCCTGCTGCTTTGTTTTCAGATACCCTAGAGAATGCTATCCTAGTAGGCTCTGTGGAGCAGGGTGGGTGGCAGAAGCCTTGGCTGTAGCCTGTCTCCTTCTTCAAGAGAAAGCATGCTTAGCAGCCCTGGTTTGTGTGTACCTACAGACCCGGCAGTTGGTCACTGTCTGTGACTGTAAGCTGCTGGCCAACTCCATCCATGGGCTGAATGCTGCACGGCCTGACTACATCGCTTCCAAGGCCTCCCCTACCTCGACTGAGGAGGAGCAGGTGATGCTTCGGAATGACCAGGACACCCTCATGGCCAGGTGGGCAGGGAGGAGCAGCCGGTCTTCCCTGCAGGTGGACTGGCATGAGGAGGAGTGGGTGAGTCTGCCGCCCCTGCCCGTTGGCCTCCTGCTGAACTTGGAAACGATAGAACTACTGCCTGTGTCCTCCCTCACAGTGTGCCCAAAAGGCTGGCCCCTTTGTTAGCAAGTTCCAGCTCTGCTTCCCCGATGGCCCTAGGCCACTTGATGCTGAGAAGTAGACTGTTTTCAGACCACGGTGGGTGTGAATTTTTCATGATTGTGCTGGGAGCCAGGCCTCTCCTCTTCCTCAGTCCTCGGCTCATCCTTTGCCCTTTAGTGCTCTTTGTGTTCGAATGCAGGAGCTCAGGTGCTCAGGCTACTACTACCCCTGACATGTCACTTCGGTGTTCCAGAGTTGGCTGGAGAGCTGGATCCTTGTCTCTTTAGAAAGGGAACAGCCTACAACTTGTTGCCATTAGTTGGGGCTACTGCTCAGAGGCATCCTGGGAAGCATTGAATTATTAATTGGCAGCAAAGTGTTCCTCCAGCCCTGGCAGCCTGTGGTCTGTGTGGGTTTCTGCAGCTCACTTCCAGCCTGCCCTCTCCTCCCAACTCCCTCACCCCCTGCCACCAGCTGTTTCCATTCGTGTCCATCAGAAGGAGACCTCAGTGGGTGATGACTGTAGGTGGTCCGCAGTGGAAGGGGGAAAGAAGATAATGAACTCTTAGTGCCCTGTGGCCTGCTGGGTGAGGCTGGAAGGCTGTCTGTCTTCCACGGAGTTGGCCGCGAATGTCTGCTAAGCTTTCAAGTCGATGACCACAGGCTGCAGATTGTCTTTGCAGAGCCAATCTGACTTGAACGGCAATGTAGACATTATCAGGCCGAGACCAAGGGAGAGATGGGGGAGGCTGTGTTCTGTCTGTTCTTGGTTTTCTGTTGCACAGATTGACCCAAACAGTCTTCTTGGTTTGAAGGAGAAAGTGTGGCTGAATGTGGACAAGAGCCTGGAGTGCATCATCCAGCGGGTAGACAAGCTGCTGCAGAAGGAGCGTCTGCATGAGGAGGGCTGTGAGGACGTTTTCCCCTGTTCAAGCACCTGCTCCAGCAAGAAAGGTAACCGGGGCAGCCAAGCCTACTGGATCAGACCGGAGGACCCCTTCTGTGACGCCCCCTCCTCGACATGTCCCTCCTCCATGCCCACTGCTGCATGCCATCCTCACCCAAGCACACGTGCGTATGCATCCACGCTTCCCACGCTGCCTCGACTCGTGCCTCATCACTTGTGTGTCTGTGTCTCTGACTCCATGCCTGCCTCCCCCAAGCAGACTGCAGGGAGGGCTGTCAGGCAGCACAGGATGTCAGCGGGAGTCCACATGCGTAGAGCAGCAGATAGGCAGGGTGGAGACTCCTGTCATCTTTCCACGCAGCTGGAGCCCCCCGAATCTGCATCACCACCATGGGCAGACTGGGCCCTCCTGGGCCACAGTGTCATGGCTGGAAAGTCTTTTCAGGTTTGTAAGCCAACCTGAGAACCTGAAGGGGACTGGATGCAGATGTCTCTGTGGTGTTATTTTTGTTCTGTTGTGAATGGATAGACTGATTGAAAAAACAATAGTGAGCTTTGTAGGAACGATGCTAGATGAGGGGTGCTTGCAGCCTCACAGGCTCTTCTCATTGGCTGGGCATACCCTTCTCCAACAGAAGCATGTTGCCTAGGGTCTCGTAACTCAGTTAGATGGCAGGTAAGTTAGAGTGACCTGTTTGACACCACTCTTAGAGGGGGTCCTTGAGTGTAGAACAGTGCCATGCAGCAGCATACTTCAGAAAGGGACACAGGGCATGTTGAATACTGCCCTCAAGATAGCTTGAAGCCTGAGGACTGATGTGTCTAAAAACAAGTGGGTCCTTAGTCCTTCCTCTCACCTTGGTGCCTCTCACCTTTTCTGTAAGAGCTGGAGAAAACTTGGGTCCAGTCATCTGAGCCCTGGCTGTACACCTAGCTTCTGCTCCTCTTCACTGTCCTTGGGAAGCTTGAAGGTGCAGTAAGGACAGTCAAGATGGGCAGGGTTAGGGTGTGATGAGGACTCCGAGATTCTCACTTGACAGTGGCCCTTGAAGGCAGAATCCTGCGCCTTTACCAGAGTCTCCGATAAATCCTTCATGCGTTGTGTGTCCTTTGCCTCTCATCTGTCTGCAGTGTTTCTGGGCCACTGTCCTACTTGAACCTCTGTTTAAGCAGTGTCTACATCAATCTACTTTTCTGTCTCGGGGGATTACAGCTGTCACCTTTCCAAGCCTGTGATCCATTCATCAAACTAATTTGTGTCTGTTTTGTTCTCATTTTCCTGTTTAATTTTTTTTCTCAAAGTTCATTACTTCTCTTTAGTACTAACTTGTCTGTAGGACTAGGGATGTAGTTAGGTGGTAGATCACCTGCCTACTTTGTATGTATGAGGCCACTTCAGGACCAAAGAAGAAATATATATAATTTTGTTTGTAAGCTTAAATATTTTCTGCAGATATGGAGAAAAAAATGGTTAGATATTTTAAAATTTAGGAGCTAGTGTGTTGTGTGATCAGGCTGTTTGTCTTTGTAACTCACTTGTCTGTGGTGCTTGTCCTAGTTAGGGTTTCTATTGCTATGATAAACACCATGACCAAAAGCAACTTGGGGAGGAAAGGGTTTATTTGAGCTTACAGCTTATAATCCGTCATCCAGGGAAGTTATGGCAGGAACTCAAGACAGGAACCTGGAGACAGGAAATGACACAGAGGCCGTGGAGGAACACTCCTTACTGGCTTGCTCAGCCTGCTTTCTTATACAGAGATGGCACCACCCAGAGTGGACTGAGCCTCCCACATGAACCCCTAAATAAGAAAATGCCCCTATGGGCTTGCTGAAAGGCCAAAGGCTGAATTGTTAACCCAGGACCTGTGTACACCCCAGCCTCATGTTAGCCCAAGATCACATGCTGAAATTTGCAAGTGACTAGGGAGAAAGTCCATAGTGGTCATCAAATCTCAAAGGACTCTGTGACCTAAGACCAGTTAGGAATCTCTAATCTGAGAGTGCCAGAGGAGTCTCCTTTCTCCCCTTGGGTTGAAAGGTCTGTTTACCAAACTGAGTTTTCCCCTAAGTAAACTCTCACAGGAGTAGTCCCACCCTGAGATCACCAGTCATTCATAAAGCAGGCTCCTAAACTCTCCTCCTCATTCGTGACTCAGAGTCCTGGAGGAGAGGTTATGGAGTGGCAAAAATAAAAAAACATATACAAACATGTAGTTTTTCAAGGCTTGGGATAACTCTCCTTAGCCAGATAGAGGTTGAAAAATCGCTGGCTGCATCGTTTGACACCCATGAAGGTTCCTGTCTGTTAGCTAGCTGGTCTCAGGGCTTGAGTTCTCACCAAAGAGGCTGAGCTCTTCAACTTACAGAAGGCTTTATATTTTCTTTCCTCTTGTCAGTTTAAGAAGTCTTGTCCAAACACAACAGAGGAAGGACCCCTGCTCATCCCCCTGACAAACCCCTAAAACTCCTTCTGGCTAGTCTTGGGGATCTGAAGCATTCTTACTTCAGTTCCCTATGGATGTCCTTTGAACTCAAGTTCAGACACAAAATGAAATTCAGTTTCACTCCTTTGATGCCTTTTCAAACTGTCTTTTTTCAGGTGGCACATCCGTTTAACTAGGAATTTTAGCATTTTTTAAGGGCAATGTGAAATTGAAATTAGTACATCCCAGTAAGACTCAGCAAAAGTGGACTAGAATCAAAATTGGTATGCTTTGAAGACCTGAGGGACAGCCTAGCTAGAGGGACAGCCTAGCTGGAGGACAGCCTAGCTGGAGGACAGCCTAGCTGGAGGACAGCCTAACTGGAGGACAGACTAGCTGAAGGGACAGTCTAACTGGAGGACAGTCTAACTGGAGGACAGTCTAACTGGAGGACAGTCTAACTGGAGGACAGCCTAGCTGGAGGACAGCCTAGCTGGAGGACAGTCTAACTGGAGGACAGCCTAACTGGAGGACAGCCTAGCTGGAGGACAGTCTAGCTGGAGGACAGCCTAGCTGAAGGGACAGTCTAACTGGAGGAACAGTCTAGCTGGAGGACAGTCTAGCTGGAGGACAGTCTAGCTGGAGGACAGCCTAACTGGAGGACAGTCTAGCTGGAGGACAGTCTAACTGGAGGACAGTCTAGCTGGAGGACAGCCTAGCTGGAGGACAGTCTAACTGGAGGACAGCCTAGCTGAAGGGACAGTCTAACTGGAGGACAGCCTAACTGGAGGACAGTCTAACTGGAGGACAGTCTAACTGGAGGACAGCCTAACTGGAGGACAGTCTAACTGGAGGACAGTCTAACTGGAGGACAGCCTAGCTGAAGGGACAGTCTAACTGGAGGACAGCCTAACTGGAGGACAGCCTAGCTGAAGGGACAGTCTAACTGGAGGACAGCCTAACTGGAGGACAGTCTAACTGGAGGACAGTCTAACTGGAGGACAGCCTAACTGGAGGAGTTTCCTAATTGGAGGACAGTCTAACTGGAGGACAGCCTAGCTGAAGGACAGCCTAACTGGAGGACAGTCTAACTGGAGGACAGCCTAGCTGAAGGGACAGTCTAACTGGAGGAGTTTCCTAATTGGAGCCATCTTCCAAATCACACAGCTTTTACATTTAGTTTAATTGGGTTTTAAAGACTGGCATATGGTTCCTTTGGCATCTTGGTTTTATCATTGGTCCTTACCAGTTTGAAGGTCAGCAGTAGATCCTGAACCCTGGATTCTCCAGTAAACAGGGGCAGTGGGCTCCACAGTTGACACGCAGACTTGATTGGTCAGTCTGTCTCATTCGATGTTGTAAGCTAACATGGGCTCCATCATTGCACCATCATCAGTGTGGCATCTGTGGTGTTGTGTGTGTTGGTTCATTCATCTAGAACATTGTATGTTGATGTGTTACCAACATGGATGTTGGCTCTGGTGAATCACTGTTGTTCACTACTGAGAGGGCTCAGCTGCTCACAGCAGCAAGTATGCTGCCCTTGGGAAAACTGAGTAAGAGGCGCCTGGGCCCCAGGCCTCTTCTCCATCTGTTTAACCACCTTGTTGCAAGCTGCTGATGCAGCAGCTCTGAGACTGAGTTGCTCATGTTTGAACTGTGTGCTGCTCCTTAATCATCCCTGTTGCCCTCCATTTCTGTGCAGATTGCAGCCCCCCTCCTGAAGAGTCCAGTCCAGGTACGTGGTCTCCATTCAAGGTTCCTGCTGGTGTCTTTTAAATATTCAGGGAGTACTTGTAGTTCAATTATCTAAGATTGGTTTGTGTTCCCATAGTTGGGAAAATACCTTAGGACTTCCTTTGTTTTGAGGTTTGGTGAGGGACCTGTGGGACTGAGGGAATTATGGCCTGAAGTAGGCTGCTAGACACATTGTGTTTTTCCTTCTGTATCCTAAAGCCTTTTCACAAGATTTACTTCTGAGTGCGTTGGGTCCAGTGGTGGGTGATCTGATTTAGAAAGCTACATGTTTGTGAATATTCCTTGTCCGTTCACTTGAACTCTTGCACATAGCTCTAAAGGCACAGTTGGATGATTTGTATCCACTGGGGATGTGGTGGTGCAGCAGCCTCTCGTCAGCTTCTGGATGCAGCTTTAGGACTCTTACCAGACATCGATCTGGGCCTCAGTTGGGATTACTGCTAAAAATGAAACCTTTCTGCTACATTTTCATGGAGAACCCAATGTCCCTGGTTCTAGCTCAGGGGTTGGTGAACTATGGTCTTGAACTAAATCCTGGCCACAGCCTGCATTTCTAACATTTTGTCTATCACCTATTATCTTGAGTTGTACAGCAGAGACTCTGTTGCTCTCCTAGTCTGTAAAGACTCTGTTGTAGGTTGTGCCAACCCCTGATCTAGCTCCCAATGAGCTTCCTGTATATGGCTTGTGGTTTTCTTGGTGTGCATGCGCTTCTCTTCCCCCAAACAATTTTTACTCAAAAAAATTAGCTATATGATCAGTTCAATGATTGCATATTTCTGAGTAGATGTAAGATGGAAAGACACCTGCTTAATATCTAGAGTACAGCAAACAGTGGGCGAGGATTGATGGAGCCATTTCTGCCCACTGACACAGTGCCATGAGTCCACTGACTGGGACCACCCGGCAGCAGGCCCAGAACCACATTGAAGTGGCATCTAACTGGGCTCATTGTGCCTTCCCAGTTTGCTTTTGGTCCCTTTATAGTTCTCTTTCCCCAGACATCAGTGGAGCAGCCGTGAGTGGGTCTTAGGTCCCAGTGTCATGGATGAGCCCGAAGGGCCATTGAGCCTTAGTAGATGCACAGTTAACCTTGCTCTTTTCTTGCCTGCAAGTCTGGGACCATGACAAGCAGTGAGGACCAGAAGTGGTGAGCTGTGAGCCTATGGCAGGAGCTCAGGGGTTCTTCTCCACTCTGGTTTCTTTCTGGCTTGTAGAACTCTTCCTCCACTCGGGAAGCACTGGTGGCTTTTCCACAGTTGATGTTAAATGGAGAAAAATGGTTCCCTGCCAGGAGTCCTATACTGCATATTTAGTCTGTATTAAACACACACAGTCCAGAGGCTGGAGAGATGGGTAAAGTGTTTGCTGCTTGACCATGAGGATCTGATTTCAGAGTCCCCATCTCCCAAGAGAAAAGCCAGACGTGGCAGAGCATGCCTGTAATCCCAACACTGGGGGCGAGGTGGAGACAGGCTGGTCCTGAGGTTACTGGCTGGCCAGGAGGTCGGCCAGTTGGTGAGCATCAGGTTTATAAGCCACCCTATCTCAAAAAGTAAGATGGGAGTGGTAGAAGAGGACACTAGACATCAACTTCTAGTCTTCACGCATGTTGTACATACGGATATACACACCTACACCAGAGCACATACATGCGTATACTACATATACATAAGATCAACAAATATACAGACACACACTTTGTCTCTCATTCCCCGTTTGTACTGATGGGTTAATGAAAAAACAAACAAAACAAAAGCAGGCTGTGGATTAGAGGAGCACTTGAGGTTCCCTGAAGTAGCATGGACCATGGGCTATCCAGGCAGCAGGCATCACAAGTTAGCAGGTGGCTGAGAGTTTAGCCCCTAGAAGCAGAACAGCTGCAGCACCTAGCACATTGCTTAGTTGACCTGTTTTTAAAAAAATAATAGTAACAGTAACAAGTAGTAGTTATAGTAGTAGTCTTTCATTTTGAGGTAGCACATTGAAAACCCTTTACCAACTTCAGCATCCCAGCCAGTAGATTCCATGTGCTGCCATTGAAATCAATTTGGCTTGGGATGTTTTTAAATTGAGTTTCTGTTCATACTCAAGACACCTACTACTACCTTCCTCCTGCTCTCTCCTTAGCAGAAGCAGGCTCACTACTAAAGATAATGGCTTGAGAGTCAGACATTTACAGGTGCCCGTTCTCTTTGTGTCTTAGAAGGCTCTTAGCCGCAGAGCCCATTTCCCCTCTGCGTGGATAAGATGGGAATGCTGTTAGAAATGCTGGGAATGGTGGTGGGTGCCCTTACTGAACTCTGGCCGTCCAGACTTGTCTGGTACCATCTGGGAAGATGTCACACTCGCAGTTTCCAAGACAAGTGTCGCAGTGCCTTTTAGCAGTTTCTTTGTGCTCTTTTTGTCTTTCTAGCTTAGCAAATAAGTCTTTCTTACATGAATTTCATTTCTGAAAACAGTGGCTAAAGTGAAACGTCATATTGGGGAAGCTTGCTGAGTTAAACAAACAACTTGATGCTCTGATTATTTTCGGGTTAAAATGGCCATGGTTATCCTATGAATTGTATATGTGTAATAATTGGAAAAACAAAGTAAAAATGATCTAAGCATTTCAATTCTTACTCAAGAGCAGTATTTGGGGGATAGAGGGAGCTTGGTTGTTTTTATTTTTTGAGGTTGGATATTGGTATGTAGTCCAGGCTAGCCTTGAACTTGTTATCCTCCGACCTCAGCCTCCCAGGCCCTGGGATTGTAGGCATGCACTACCATACCTGGCTTATGAAGAAGATTTTTACTGACTGCACCATTCCTAAATGATTTGCTATACTCTATAGTTTTCGTTGGCCATTTTTGATAGACTCTGTTGACAGAGTTCTTCAAAGAAACCGGAAACTTGTCTGAGAAGAACAGAGGGAGAGTTAGGTCTGGGAGTCTATCTAGTGCTTCTCTCTGATTTTTCCCAAGACATACCACGTGGCTGAGGGGTCCAGGGCCTTGCCTGTGTTCACCACTGCTCAGCAGCCAGGCCTGGAACTCATATTTTCCACTTCTCAGTCCAGTGTTCTTTGTCACTGTGTCATATTTGCTAAGACCTTTCTGCTTTAGATTCTAAATTTAAGCTTCTTTTCCATTACAGACATAGCCTTTGTCCACATGCAGTGTGCCTGCATATCTAGTTAGATCATTTCCAACCCTGGACTGTTTCGTGTACTTAGGCCTGTTGTTGAGTATGGGCAAGTTCCTCTACACATTCTTGGAGTTAAGGTGCTAGCCAGATGGTGAACAAGCAGAGCCAGCTCCTCCTCTTAGTGTCTCTGGCCGTGTGTGTGAGAGGCCGAGGCTCCTCCAGCAGTGCGGTGGCTGGTCTGAGGACGCTGTCACCTGCACTCTGTCCCTCAGGGTGTGCACTGCCTTGAGCTGGTTTGGAGAGCTGGCTTCACCCAGTAGGGATGTGCTGATGTCTCTTTTTGGACATGGCATGTCTTTTTGATGTCTTCCAAGAAGGAAGCAAACAAAGGCCAAGCCAGAGCTGCCCCCAACCCTGCTCTTCCCCTCCAGGGTTCTATTTTTAAAGGGTTGTTTTGGTAGAGGGTCAAAGTTCCATTACATTTCTGAAAGCAAACTGAGCTGGAAATAGTTGCATCAAGCGGGGAAGTGGGGGTTGAGGAAGAGAATGAGCTCAGAGGAGGGGACAGGAGCAGAGTTGGCACTGTGCTGGGAGAAGGGCCATGACATACACCCTGTCTGTGCACATTCCTTGTGGGGTAGAGGAACCGCCAGGCTGTGGTGCACACACAATCTGTTTGTGGCCTTGTCACGGCCTACAAAGGCTTCTGTGGTTGTTTTCTTCAACAGCCATAGTCTTGCCTATGGAGGAAGGAGTCCCCAGTAGTTTTAGAGTGGCTGGTGTATGTGGATGCCACCAGAGTAGAACTGCTTTAGTTTACTGCAACAAGTGAAGCAGAGGGATGGAGCAGAGTCGGCTCTGGGCAGAACTTAGTGCTATTTCTTCAGGCCATGTGGTGGGGCAAGCAAGGTCAGAAGGTCTAGAGAGGCTAAGGGTGTGAGAGGCAGGATGGAACATTGGTTAGGGGTAGTGGCTTGCTGCTTTACAGGACGTACTTCTTGAAGCCTTCCTTTAAGTTCTGACAAGCCCTTCACTCACGTGCAGGTGAATGGAGCGAGGCCCTTTACCCTCTGCTGACCACCCTCACAGACTGTGTGGCCATGATGAGCGACAAAGCCAAGAAGGCCATGGTCTTCCTGCTCATGCAGGACAGTGCCCCCACCATTGCCTCATACCTGAGCCTGCAGTACCGCCGTGACGTCGTCTTCTGCCAAACCGTAAGCCTCCAGAGGACATCAGGGTGCTCCTGGGTACCTCCTACCTTCGAGAAAGAGACTCGGGCAGCTCTGTCCTTCCCCTGTACTTGTGCAAAGCACAGGTGGCCTTGTTTCCCCAACCTGTTGCTTTAATAGAGAGGCACAGGAAGGAGATACCTCATTGATGAGTAGTTGTTCCTCCTGAAGAGCCAGCTCTGACAGGAGAGCCCAGCACCAAGCAGGACAATGGCAAAGGCCTCTGTCACCTCCTTTTTCTCCACAAGGGATGTGATCGAGGACCACATGGGTGCTTGTCAGTGCAGTTGAAACAGCAGGCACTCAAGTTCTGTGGCTTGTCACAGGGCCCCATTTAAAGATTTCAGTTTCCATTCAGTGAGAGTTGTGATGAATCTCCAAGGTAAAAGAGGCCAGGAATAGAACTCATGATGTGAGGAGCTTGGAGGGGGCTGGTGCTCTGTAGTTCCCCCACCGATGCTGGGAAGTCTGTTTCGTCATACAGAAAACCTCCCTAAGGAAACTAAGCAGCTACGTTCACTCTTGTTTCCAGACAGGGTTGGTGTGGGTCTGAGTAGATAGCCCTTTCCCTATGGGGAATTGATTCTAAGCTTCCAGAAAGTTTCAGTTCAGGAACAACCCCAAGCAGGTCATGTGAGAGGCTGAGCCCAAACCAAGCCCACCTTTGACAGGTGCTGCAAGCCTATGGTGTTCACCACCTTCCCCATAGCCTTTGATGCCTGTGGTCCCAGCCCATAGCCCTTCCCTGGGGGATAAGAGATGCTGCTGATGTTCCTTGAGCAGTGGAAAGAAACAGAGGGGCCAGGGGATGTGCTGGTTTCTGCCTGGGGTAAAAATGCCTGTTCTAGGGCTGGAGAGATGACTCAGAGGTTAAGAGCCCTGGCTGCTCTTCCAGAGGTCCTGAGTTCAATTCCCAGCACCCACATGGTGGCTCACAACCATCTGTAATGAGATCTGATGCCCTCTTCTGGTGTGCAGGGATACATGCGGGCAGAACAGTGTATACGTAATAAATGTTCTACACACCACTCCCTGTGCCTCCCCACAGCTGACGGCCCTCATCTGCGGCTTCATCATCAAGCTGAGGAACTGCCTGCACGATGACGGCTTCCTGCGGCAGCTCTATACCATCGGGCTTCTGGCCCAGTTTGAGAGCCTGCTGAGCACCTATGGTGAGACTCCACCTTGGGTGTGACCACTGGCCCAGGGCCACAAGGGTGGTTCCGATTGTGCTTCTACCTCCCTCCTTCCTTCCATATTAATGAGTTCGAGCATTCAAACCAGGATATGTACAAAGAACCAGGCGATACTCCTGCATAGGTTTGCAGGAGTGATGTCATGTATCTCGACGGTCTTTCTAGTGAGCATGGAGGATAATTTGGGTTTCTTCCGAATGACTCCCACTAAATCTTTGGTGCAGGGATACCTGTCCATGAAGACATTTGTAATTGTGTGGGCTCCTTTTTCCAGCTGAGAAGGAGAGTTGCTGGGTCCAGGGGAAAAAGGGGTGGTTAGAAACTTAAAAGCCGATTCCAAATTGCAGTTTAGGGAGACTCTCTCCCCCTAGACTTGTTTTCTATTATTTCTTCCGAGAAGGTGAAAATGGACTACTTTGAAAAAGTATGTTTTCATCGTGGGATTATAGTTTATTTATTTATTGACTTCTTCTTTTATATACTGTGTCCCAACCCCCTAATTTCCCCTCCCCCCTCTCCTCCTGCTCCTTCCCCACTCCTTCCCCTCTCCTCCCAATCCTTTCCTCCGTTTCGGCCTCCCAGGGATATCAACCAAGCATGGCATATCAGGTCGCAGTAAGGTGTCACCTCCCCACATATTTACTGGATGGGGCGACCCAGTAGGAGGAAGAGTTCCAAAACCAGGCGGAAGTGTAGGACAGCCCCTGCTCCCACTGTTAGGAGTTCTGCAAGAAGATCAGACTACGCAACCATAACATGTACGCAGAGGACCTAGGTCAGACCCGTACAAGGCTCCCTGGTTGTCAGTTCAGTCTCTATGGCCCCTGTGAGCCCTGGCTAGTTGATTCTGTGGGCTGTGTTCTTGTGGTGTCCTTGACCCCTCTGGCTCCTATAATCCTTCCTTCCCCTTTTCTGAAGGATTCCCTGAGCTTGACCTAGTGTTTAGCTATGTGTCTCTGCATCTGTTTCCATCAGTTGCTGGATGAAGCCTCTCTGATGGAAATTGGGCTAGGCACCAATCTATGAGTATAGCAGAATATCATTAAGAATCTTTCCATTGTGGTTGGTCATGGTGTTTTTGTTGTTGTTTGTTTGTTTGTTTTTCCAGTCATGTTTGGTTCCATCCTAGCTCTCTGGTCTATCCAGCCTCTGGGTCCTGACCCTCCAGGCAGTGTCAAGTGTAGGCTGGTAAGGGTCTCAAGCTGGACCAGTCATTGGTTGACCACTCCCACAATTTCTGCACCATCCAGTACATCTTGTAGACAGGACAAATTGTAGGTCAAAGGTTTTGTGGCTGGGTTGGTTCCTCAACTGGAAGTCTTGCCTGCCTATAGGAGATGACCATTTCAGGCTCTGTATCCCCCATTTCTAGGAGTCTTAGCTAGGGTCACACTCATAGATTCCAGGGAGTTTTCACTACACTTTAAGTTTCTACCTTGTCCCCCAAATGCTCCCCAATTCCAGTTGTCTCTCCCAGAACTCTCTCCCTCTATTTGCCCCTACCTGATCCCTCCTGTTCCCATCCCTACCTGCTCCCAGACCACCTGAGATATCTCTTCTATTTCCTCTTCCCAGCATGCATTCCCCTCCCCCTTGAGCCCTCCTTGTTACTTAGCCTCTCTGTGTCTATGGATTATAGCATGATTATCCTTTACAGCTAATAGCCACTTAAAAGTGAGTACATACAATGTTTATCTTTCTGGGTCTGGGTTACCTCACTCAGGATGATTTTTTTTAGTTCCATCCATTTGCCTGCAAATTTCATGGTGTTATTTTTTTTTTAACAGACGAGTAATACTCCATTGTGTGAATGTGCCACATTTTCTTTACCCATTCTTTGATTGAGGGGCATCCAGGTTGTTTCCAGTTTCTGGTTATTATGAAAAAGTTGCTATGAATGAACGTAGTTGAGCAAGTGTCCTAGTGGTATGGTAGAGCACCTTTGGATATATGCCCAGGAGTGGTATTGCTGGGTTTTGAGGTAGATTGATTCCCAGTTTTCTGAAAAACCACTGTATTGATTTCCATAGTGGCTATACAAGTTTATACTCCCACCAGCAATGGAGGAGTGTTCCCCTTGCTCCACACCCTCTCCCGCATGAACTGTCACTTGTGTTACTGATCTTAGCCATTCTGACAAGTGTGAAATCTCAAAAGTAAGTTTTGATTTGCGTTTTCCTGATAGCTAAGGATGTTGAGCATCTTCTTAAGTGTTTCTCAGCCATTTGAGATTCCTCTGTTGCAAATTCTCTGTTTAGATCTTTACCCCATTTTTAATTGGATTATTTGTTTTTCTTTTTTTTTTTTTTTGATGTCTAGTTTCTTGAGTTCTTTAAATATTTTAGAAATTAGTCCTCTGTCAGATGTGGAGTTGGTGAAAATCTTTCCCTATTCTGTGGGCTGCCATTTTCTCCTATTGACAGTGTCCTCTGCCTTACAGAGGCTTTTCAGTTTCATGAGTTCACACTTATTAATTGTTGATCTTAGGGCCTACACTATTGGTGTTGTGTTTGGGAAATTGTCTCCTGTGCCAATGCATTCAAAGCTATTCCCCCACTTTCTCTTCTATCAGGGTCAGTGAATCTGGTTTTATGTTGGGGTCTTTGATCCACTTGGACTCCAGTTTTGTTCAGTTTTGTGGTAAATATGGATCTATCTGCATTCTCCTTCTAAGGCCATCCCACCCCGAATACACCCAATCTCTTAAGGTTATGGGTTTTTGATGAGGTATCCAGCCATTGGTGGTGGATGAATTGGCCACAGCAAAGCTGTTTTACTGTTTCTATTCCCATCCTTGAAGAACTGGCATGAGCTTTTGAGGTTCCATGCACAAAACCTTGAGAAGGATGGTCCCCAGTTCTACCAGCCTACATTGGCAGTGTTATTATGTGGTCAGTAGCAAATTCGCTCACAGAGTGCTGCTATGTTGAGGGGAAGGGGCTCAGAGAATGCCCTCCCATCCATGCCTTAGGCCTTTGTTCACAACTGACCTGGGGAGAATAGCAGGCCTTGACACCACCCTTCTCTCTTTATCTTCTCCTCTCAGGAGAGGAGCTGGCCATGTTGGAGGACATGAGCCTTGGAATCATGGACTTGAGGAACGTGACCTTTAAAGTCACCCAGGCTACTTCAAATACATCAACTGACATGCTGCCAGTCATCACAGGAAACCGGTAAAATAATCATCTCTTAGATGCTCCAGGCAATAGCATTTCACTGTTTGCGTTTGTCTCACTGGACACAGGATATGCTCTGTTATACACTTTGCTTTTATTTGATTTTGTTTTACTCTTTTAAAACGTGGCATACAGCCTTCCCTCTACCCACATCAATTTCAGAATTTCTCCTTAAAGGTCTGAGTGGGCACTTGAACCACAGTAGCCAGAGTGTCACAAACGCTCTGAAGTATACTTTGGATCTGTCCCCTACTCTCAGTGTTCTGATCTTATCCCTACTTTTCCTCTCTCCACTAGTGATGGCTTTAATGTGCGGATCCCTCTGCCAGGACCACTGTTCGACTCCCTGCCCCGAGAGATCCAGAGTGGCATGCTGCTGCGGGTGCAGCCAGTCCTCTTCAACGTGGGCATCAATGAGCAACAGACACTGGCTGAGAGGTGTGTGCCACTCTCCTAGTGCCTATGCAGCTGGGGTGTTTAAGTGTCCATGGAACTGTGGGTATGGGCTTACCTCAACTGGGGATACACTGTGGTTGCTGAGAGATGTTGTACAACTTTTAGTAGAACAGGGCATGATCAGATCTCCACGTTAAGTAGGTCACATTGCTGGCCATGGGTAGAAAGGATTCAAGAGAAACGTGAGGATGTTGCTGAAGAGGCCGGGCCACAGGGCAGTACTATGGATCTGGATAGGTGGAGCATGCTGTAAGTGTTCTGAGAAGGGACCAACTGGAGACCGATGTAAGCAGCACAGAGGATAAGTAAACTGAGGCCCTAGGCTTGTAGATTGGACAAGTGGGTTGGTGCCTTCTCTGAGCTCAGGCCCATGGGGAAGGTAGTGTTTAGAGCAGATAAGGCTGAGGCACCAGTGCAGAAAACAGAGCCCTCTTGAGGCAAGATCTAGAAGAATCTAGTTTGAGGAGAATAGGCCTCTTGTGGGAGCTGCAGCTGAGAGGGAAGACATTCCCTGCCTGAGACAAGTCCAAATGAGTGAGCAGAAGAGGATAGAGGAGAATGTATGAAGAGTCTGAGGAGGAGAGAGTGGAGTTGAAGAGTGAGCAGAAGAGGATAGAGGAGGATGTATGAAGAGTCTGAGGAGGAGAGAGTGGAGTTGAAGAGTGAGCAGTATTGGCTTGGTTTGCTTGCTTGCTCCAGCAGCACATACGTAAGTTTGATTTGCTTCTGAGATGAAGGGAGACTGCACAGAATGGAAAGTCCCCACCCCCATCTCCCCGAGGGGGCAGGTGCCTGCTAGACACAAAGCTGTTGTGGGTACCAGGGTGAATTGTCTATTTGAGAAGGAAGGAGTACTGCCTCTGAGGCTGATGCTGGTAGGACATAGAGCAGGGGAGTGGTGGGCTGGGCTGAGGGCCCAGGTCTCAGACTGTACAAGTACAACCCCCTTCCCCTTTTTACTGTTTAGCACCTTCCTTGAAGGTGGCATCTATTACTTACCTCATGTATTTGGTATAGTCATTCTTGCAACATGTAGTGGGCATAGGTCACACCTACCTGATGAGGAAAGAGCAAAGGCCCCAGCCCAACCTAGAGGGACAGTTAGTGTTCACACAGCAGAGGGTGACTTCAGATCCCAGCATAGTCTCCTTATTCCTGGCTCCCCTCACTGCTGTCCCCTTTCCTGGGTGCCTTTGAGAGCCTGTGACACACAATGGACTTTCAGTCTCTGAGCCTGGTGCTGTCGGTCATTTTTATGTTGCTGTGACAAACCACCTTTAAAAAGATCAAAACTTTAGAAGTAAAGGTTTACTCTGACTTAGGATTTCAGAAGTTTCAGACCGTGGTTGCTGGCTCTGTTGCTCCACAGCCTGTGCATGGCAAGGCAGAGAACCACGGTGTAGAACTCAGATGGGGGGACAAAGTCGCTCACCCCATGGTGTGCATGAGACAGGGAGGGTCAGAAGACAAGGTCAGCCCTTAAAAGATGTGCCTCCAGTGTCTCCTTCCTCCAGCTAGGCCCCAGCTCCTAATAGAACATTTAGCTGGACACTTAGCAGTGAGCCATCAGGATCCAGTCACTGTCACTGGTGCTCAGAGCCCAAGCCTTCCACATGTGGACTTGCACGGAGAGACTTCTTACCAAGCTGTAGCAAGCACAGACCCTGCACCAATGCACTCATAGGCGTACCTGTAGTGAGTTCCAGTGGCCTCTGCTTGTGAAATCCGTGCCCAGTGTTGTAGGGATGGCTTCATCCTCAGGAAGGAGGAGGGACCTGGGGTTTGGACTGGCAGCTTATCCCCGTGGGAGAATCATCCCTGTAGATTTCTTGTAGCTTTCAGCTTGTTAGAGGAAGATGGCATGGCCTGTCTACTGATGTCCTGATTCTCCCCAAGGTTTGGAGACACATCCTTACAAGAAGTCATCAACATAGAGAGCTTGGTGCGGTTGAATTCCTACTTTGAGCAGTTTAAGGAGGTTTTGCCGGAGGACTGTGAGTATTCCTTCACTCGTGTGTTCCACACTGCTTGTGCAGTCTTCATTTTGGATGCCTGAGCTCTAGCCCTCTGCTGTCTGGATGCTGCCCAGCTCATCCTACTGCAGTGGTGTGCACATCCATTTGTGTGCACAAACCCTACACAGATGTGTTTGCGCTCTTCCTTCTCCACTCCTCACATAAGCAGTGGTGTGCACATCCATTTGTGTGCACAAACCCTACACGGATGTGTTTGCGCTCTTCCTTCTCCACTCCTCACATAAGCAGTGGTGTGCACATCCATTTGTGTGCACAAACCCTACACAGATGTGTTTGCGCTCTTCCTTCTCCACTCCTCACATGTGTGCATGGCATCCCATTTGCCTGACTTGAGTCCCCCCCCATCCCCCCCCGCCCCGCCCCAGGAAAGCTTCCCTGGTGCTGCAGCCCCTGTTCCCTCTTCTGCAGTGGACTCTCTTCTGCTATATATGACAGCACTTTCTGCCATAGTGTTCTGCCTCTCGTTGGTACATTCCATGGCAGACTGTGTGCACCTGCTGGGAGCACTGGGGGTTCTGGGAGGCAGTCCAAGGGTTCTGCATGAGCTGTCTGTGTTTTTCTGTCCCTGGCATGTAGAGTAAGATTCAGAAAAGGTACTTCATACTGAGTGTTTGTGGGCAAGATGACCCTGCCACAGTCTTCCCGAGACAGTGGAATTCCATGTTGTGCTCATGTATAGGTCTCTGTTCTCCATGTGAGGACACTTCAGAGAGGGTTTGGGCAGCCACAGCACTCAGGGAAAAGCCCAGAGCTGCTCAACAGAACTTGTCACTGTACAACTCTTCTGGCTTCATCCCAGCAAACTCACTGAGCCTCTGCCATGTTTATACCCAGTGAGACAGCCCCTGCCTCTTTGGGCACCACACAGGGCATACAGACACCTGCCCTCGACTGGAGATAAGTTTCATTTCTCTTGTGTGTTGGATGGAAACAGTATCTTGACTGGGGATATAAGTGGGCTTCCTTTGCATTCTGTTAGAAGATGATATGGATCCTAGAGTTGAGACCGATGATGAAACAATGCACAGAACACTTGCAGGTCACTGATGAGCCAGGCACCAGGCTAAGTGCCCTGCATACTGTTCCATGGCCACTGTTGTGAATCGTAAGAGGACAGTACTAATATGTGTGTCCAGGGAAAGAAGGGCGGCCTGGCTGTGAACCTATATTCATAGACAGTTAAGAAAGACCCGGGAGAAGGCATTGGCATCCATTTGGCAGTGCTCATGTAGGAAATGGGGAAAAGCTGTCTCTGCTTGGGCTCCCTAGTGTTCTGGTTAGAATGGAGGAGGGGACACAGGCTACAGGCAGGCCCGGGAAGGCAAGAGTGTCCCCTGACATTGTTTCCTTGTGCCCCTCACCTGCTGCTGCTGTGGCATGGTCGGGGCAGAGGCACACTGCCAGGTTCTGACTGAGAGCCAGTGCCACTGAAGCCCTGAAGCCAACACTTTGAGAACTTGAAGCATATTGGCCTTAAGCAGATCGATCCTTTCCCAGTGTCTTAGTCAGGGTTTCTATGGCTGGGATGAAACACCACAGCCAAAACAACTTAGGAGAGAACAGTTTGTTTCAGCTTATACTTCCACATCATAGTCTATCATCAAAGGAAGCGAGGGCAGGAGCTCCAGGCAGGAACCCGGAGGCAGGAGCTGATGCAGAGGCCATGGAGGAGTAGCTTATAGGCTTGTTCCCCATGACTTGCTCAGCATGCTTTCTTATAGAGTCAGGACCACCAGCCCCGGGGTGACATCACCCACAGTGGGGTGGGCCTCCTGCATCAATATCAATGATCAGTAAGACAGTGCACCACAGTCTTGCCCACAGCCAGTCTGGTGGAGGCATCTTCTCAGTTGTAGTTCCCTCTTCCAGAACAGCTCTAGCTGGTGTCAGGTTGACATGAAACTGACCAGCACACATATGTTCTAGGAGTGACTCTAGCCTCTCGTCCCTCCCAGGACTCAACTGTAGGTCATCAGTGAGGTGTCCTCCAGTTCTTCCTTAGTGCTCCTTATTGAAAACAGGTCTGTCAAGGGCTTGCCCTGGGCCAGGGGCTCTGGCTCCTTTCCATGAAGCTCAGCTGACTTGACCCCACAGCACCTGTGTGGCTGCTGCTGGTCTCACACACCTGACAGAAGAGAGCAGTGAGGTGTGGAGGGTGAGTCTCCTCAGGGGCTACACCGATCCCAGTAGCATCTTATTTTACTGCTATAAGAGGAGAGACAGGCTGTGGACTTGTAGGGAACAAGAGCATCCACCAGAGAACAAGATGAACACTGATGGAGGGGCCAGTGCTGCTCCAAGGATGGAGGGAGGGTGGGAGTGGTGAACATTACTAGGGGCAGTCCTGTGACCAACATTTTGGAAGATGGGCAGTTTCTGGTGTTCCTGGTACCCCCACTTCACCCCCTGAAGGTACAAAAGCAGGTTGAGGATAAAGTTCAGGGAATGAGGAAGCCCACAGAAGCAGAAGCTAGGTGCCAGAGAGAGGTAGTCCATGTGCCCATAAGTCCCCAGAGGGAGTCAGGGAACTGTGATTCCCAGAATCATAGGCTCCCTCCACCTGAAGGCACCATGTCCATATGCCCCATTGGGGTAGGTAGTCACTAAGATGAAGGTTGCAAGTTAGGCCAGGGAGAGGCTGCCGCTGATGGGCAGTTGGGGAGGAAGAGTCATTTTGTCTCCTCTGGAGAGTGAATGCCCTGACCAAGCTGAAGCTCCCCTCCTCTGGGCTCCCACAACCTCCATTACAGACTGCAGGCCTCACAGGTGGGAGACTTCTCCCTTCTGTTTTCTGCTTTATCTTCCGAGTGAGGACGCAGCAGCAGGAGTCATTTGCACAGGAGCTGTGTACACCAAAGGAAGGTTGTCTTATAGAAGCTGCACTTGACTGGAGGACTCAGACAAGGGTTTCCTCAGCCGTGACCTTGAGGCTCTTCTCTTTAATAATATCAGTGTGTGAAAACCCACAATACTTTCACAAGTGGTTGCCTTGTCTTTGATTTTTGTCCCAGGTTTCTTGGGTGAAGCAATATGGCATGGGGTCTCAGGAGGTCCTGCAAGGGCCTAGAGCCTTCCACAGTGGAAGAGGGGCACTGTTAGAATTAGTGGGGTTAGGGATCCCTGGGCCATTCAGACATTCTTCCTTCAAGTGTGAGTTGAGGTCTCTCATAGGAGGCTGCACTTCTAGACTCTCCCAAGGTTTTCCTGCACTCACTGCTCAAGACCCATTGCTCCCAGCATTCTGTATTCCTGATGCTGGTCTGGAAACTAGGCAGCTTACCCTCACTTCTTGCTCACTGCCCCTTGGAGATGCAGGAGGCTTGGGTAATTATGGTTCCTTTAGCAACCCTTTCTCCTGCCTCTTAGAAAAGCCAACAAAAGAGAAAAGTTGCTGCCCTTTGATGGTGGCACTAATAAAGTGAAGGGAATTCAGGGCTCAGTATCCTGGTAGCCATGTTCAAATCTGCAAACACCTCTCTCCCGTACGTGCTGGGAAGCAGGAAAATACTTCCTCGGCAGCAGTATGTTTGAGTGGGCCCCTCTCCCATGGACTTGACTTCTCTTCCAGGTCTACCTCGATCTCGGAGTCAGACCTGCCTGCCGGAGCTGCTGCGGTTCCTAGGACAGAACGTCCATGCACGCAAGAATAAGAATGTGGACATCCTCTGGCAAGCTGCTGAGGTACTCACCATGGTGCAGAAGAGTTATGATGCTCCTTCCGTGGCAGCAAATGCCTGGCCTGGTGCTTGCTAGGCCACTCCCAGTTACTGGTAGATCCTGCTTTTGGTGTCTGTGTGGTGGCCCTTTTCTTGGATGAGCTTTACATTATGAGTTGCTTATGTCTGTGGCTGCTGATCTGCTGGTGGAATGGAGCTTTAGAGAGTAGACCTTCTCTTCTGCATTCTACAACAGCCCAGCTGTAAGACCTCCTCCCTGGGGGGATGTGTGATGGGTTCACTGTGGATCTTTGTCTGACTAGGGCCACTCTTTAAGCTTGTAATTACAGTGAGACGTATTTTGAAACACCAAGCGACAAAAGTCTTAGATTCAGAGACTGTGCTTTCTCCGTTTTCTCTTAGTTTGAGGCCTAGTTTGGCATTGTCAGGCTGGGCCCAGCAAATGGGATGGACCCACAGAAGAAGAACATGTCTTTTGGGGGATCTGTGCAGCATGGTGGGGTTATGCCTCTTGCTTTTAGTTTCAGAGACCTGCTCTAAAGTGACAGCCGTTTCATAGGTACCTTTGTGAATTTCTGAGAGCCAGTCTGAGGGTGACACTGACAGACCCTGAACGGTGGACTAGGGCTTTTCCTCACTGGTCCATTCTTATACTACACAGTGGAAGCTCTGCAGATGCCCACACCCATACATGCCTTGTTTAGAGACTGCGGTTCTGTCCGTTGCAGCCACAGAACGAGCATGAGTTAGATGTGGGGCAGCTGACCCTCCCTGTCAAGTCAGAAAGCAGAACTTCCAGCCCCATAGTTCTTGTTCCCAGTAGAGTCCCAGCCATAGAAGCATATATTCAGGGGTGCAGAGTTTTCAAGGATGCTTGTATATCCCGTTTCATGTTGCCCATATGGTCATCTGTGGGAGCAATGGGTATGGGGCAGCAGAGCCATGCCGCTTAGACATTGTGTCCCCCAGAGCTGTTCTTTTTCTGAATCTTCATTTCTGTATATGAACAGAGTCCCAGCTAGTTTGCAGAAGCCTTCAGTCAGGTGAGGAGGCCTAGCCAGAGCCCCAGAGCTGGCTGTAGTGCGGCAGGGTTGGGAACCTGTCACTGCGGATCTCTTCTAGTGCCAGGGGCTGCCGTGTTTAGGAGCCGTAAATCTAAGGGTGTGTCTAGAAATGAAAGGCCATGCCCTCAGTGTTCTTGCTGTGGGAGAGGATTTATACTAGCAGGTCCAGGGACAAGGGGACCCTGTGAGTGGCAGAACCTGGCTGGGTTCTCCTCTGTGTCCTCATTCCTTGGCTGGATGTGCCAAGAAGGCCCAAGCATGGCTTATAAGGGTTAGTGCAAAACAATGATGCCCAAAAGTCTCTAGAAGGAATGTCCCTTGAGAGAACACACAAGGGACAAGTTCTCCTGGGGAATGGTGGTGCGGGGCAGAGATGATCAGGCTCCTCAGGTGGCGGGGACCCTCTAAGAACTCGTTTGGAGTTACCTTAGGTTCTGATACCAACTCCGCAAGACACAGAGTTGGGGAGCCAGGCAGTCAGGCTAGGACTAGGCTTGGAGTGACTGCTGGTGCTCCTGCCAGACCTGTGGGGCGCCCCCTCCCTGTGAGGGGGCTGCGTTTCTGCTGGCTTTTCTCTCCTAAGAAAAGCCCATTTCCTGTTGGCAGGTCTGCCGCCGCCTTAATGGGGTTCGATTCACCAGCTGCAAGAGTGCCAAGGACCGCACAGCCATGTCGGTGACGTTGGAGCAGTGCCTGATCCTGCAGCATGAACATGGCATGGCCCCGCAGGTCTTCACACAAGCCCTGGAGTGCATGCGCAGGTGAGTGAGGGCTGCTGTCGGACTGCACCTGCCCAGCCACCGCTTCCCTTTGCTGTGTAAGCTGCAGATGAGCCCCCCACCCCACCCCGAACGCTTGAGTTTGACCACTACTCAAACGACTGGCCCTGTCAAACTCAGGTAGTAGTCTCGTAGAAGGCCAAGAGGACAAGCCAGCACTCTGTTTGAGCAGAACTGCCCTGGCCCCGTAGAGTGGTGGGCAGACTGGGGTCAGACAGTTCAGCAAGGATGGGGAGCCACCTGACTGTGGTTTGGGGCCCATGCTTTCTCAGCAGGCAGCTGCTTTACATAGTGTACATGCGTGCGGTGTGTACTCCAAACTCCAGTGAAGGAGCCCAGTCTGCAGGTTGCACTGGTTTGCTCTGCTGCCTCTCTAGTAGTGGACAGAGTTTGCTCTCGTGAATGTTTGATGGTGACAGCTGTCTGTGTGCCCTGGCCACCTCCCCCTAATGATGTCCTGGTTCTGAGGCAGCAGATGTGTTTGCAGAATGAAACCCAGAATTCAGATTGTCCTCTGTTGATGGATGCCTTGTTTCAAGCACTGCTGGGAAGCTCCCTACCTCGCATACCAAAAGAAAGGATAAGAAACCTGGTTTTCCTGTCTCCTTTGATGTAGTCACCAATGCTGTTAAAGTCTCGTTTTCAACAGTCACTTCTACTGAATGTTCTGTATCATTTGTCCTCACCAAATTCTTTAAAGCGTTCAATTCTCTTATCCTTTCTATATGTTTCTGCCATTTGACCTTCTCACAATGCCCAAAGTGATGCCTGAGCTCATGCCTCTTGATAGTAGCGTGAATGGCATCATCCCGTTCTTGTTTTGTCTCCAAGTTCATTTAAACCTCTCTGTTAAAGGTCCTCAGCACTCCATGCCTTCGCCCCTAGGGATGGAAAAGCAACGGAGTCTTGGAGGCACTCTGGGTCTGTGTCCAGAACCTCTGCACCCTTTAGCCTCTGTACCTCTGTGTATATGATCCTGGTTCTGAGGGTGGCAATGATCTGTGCTCATCAGTTGTGCAGGAGGAGGAAAGGCTGATCTAGTGACCACAGATGTCCACCACTGAGGAAGTGAGGACAACCCAGACAGGGGTCCCTGTGGTCGTACAGCAGAGGCTGGGACCAGTGTCCTTCAAAGGTACACCCCTGGGACCACTACCTCCAATTGTGCCCCCCCCCTATCCCAGTGATAATGCAGTAAACCATGACCCTTTCAATAGATAAGAGCAGAGTCCTCAGGCCCCAGTTAGCTCTCAGTGGGGCCCACTAGCTGGGGCCATGTCTTCAACAGGTGAATTCTACTCTGTTCAGCAGCCACAACTTCCTGGGTATGCTTTACCTGTGCTCATTCTGGGCAAATCTGAACATTTTCACACCTTTTAGCTCTGCTCTTTGGTCCCAGTTCTTACCATTAATCCGGCTAAAAGCAGCCAGCAACACCTATGCAACAGCTTCAACTTTGGGTGTCTCTGACTCCTGACAGATTATACCATCCACAGGACAAGGACAAAATACAGAGAAGTCCTTCTCCAGAAGGTAATGTGGATGGCCTCGAGTCTGGCTTCTGGTTGAGTCTGCTCCCATCTGAAAGAAGCCTCATGAACAAAGTCTTTACTGTCCCCATTTTATTTGGCAGAGTGGACATCTGAACCTCTGAATTACCCATCAAACTGCTTATGGCATCCGGTGGGTTTTTAGGCTGTTTCTGCAGACTCTTCTGAATGCCTCCTGCAAGCCAGTTCTGAAGGCTTCTGAGTCAGATGACCCACTTCTCCAGTAACAAATGTGTCTTGGTCAGCTTCCCGTTGCAGTGACAGGATACCTGAGAAAGGAGTGGAAGGAAAGAGGATTTGGCTCACAGTTGGAGAGGTTTCGGCAAGTCTGTTTCTTGACTGTGCTAAGGCAGAGTATCTTAGCAGAAGGGCATGGCAGCACACAGTTGCTCACCTCACAATAAGCAGGACACAGAGTGACAGAGGCTGAGACAAGATGCACCTTTTAAAGACCCACTCCTTTGCCCTTGCTCCAGTAAATAGGTTCCCATCCACACTCTGGCAAGAAGTTCTGACTAAACTCAGTGGGCCACACACACAAAGAAGGCATGGAAGCAGGAGGGAGACTTGTTGAGAAGGGTTCCTACAGGAAGAGGGAGGGGTGGGGTGAAAATGACTAACGTTCATATCTAAATGTAGGGAACTATCTAAAGAAACTTAAGGGCTGTTGAGGTGACTCAGTGGGTAAAGGAGCTTGTCCCCAAGCGTGATGACCTGAGTTTGATCCCTGGGAACCACATGGTGAGAAACAACTCTTGCAAGTCACACATGTCCCCCACCTCGTGTGCCATGGCACATGCGCACATGATCAATGAATGTAATTTAATAGATTTTATAGACACATACTCTACTGACCTAATTTAAAAGATTTTATAGACATATACTCTACTGACCTACACCCTCCAACCAGGCCCCATCTTAAGGTTACCAGTCCCAGTCTATTAATTTATTGATGAAGGCAGAGCCCTTGCCCGGGACTGCACAGATTCCCATCTTTGAGCACTGCTTGCACTGGGGCCCAAGCCTTTAACATATGACCCTTTGCTGGAGGAACACTTCATAGCCAGACTGTAACGTCACATTCTTTAGGTCAATAGTCCCACATCTTTGTGGACATTGTTCTTTAAGTTAATAGTCCCACATCTTTGTAGACATTGTTCTTTAAGTTAATAGTCCCACATCTTTGTGGACATCATTCTTAGGTCAATAGTCCCACATCTTTGTAGATCTCTAGCAGTTGAATACAGTTAGTAAGTTGCACTTTTTCAGTGTCTTGGAGCATCATTCTGGTTGCCATTGTTGGCTCAGAGGCTGTTAAGTTAGGGTTGTTTTGCCATACTGTTTATGAACCCCAATATCGTGAGCAAGGAATGACCTTCCTAGTAAATGAACACATTTCCTGCTCTCTTTCTCTGTCTCATCAATCCACTCCCTGTCTCTAGCCACAGAATTTCTAGGATCTAAAATCTCTACAGTGGGCATACTTTAGTTGAATGATTATTTTCAGTGGCCATTAAATACAAAACAAAGCCTCTGCCTGTCCCACTAGCCTCAGCACAGTGACAGTGCTCAACACTGCCCTCTGCTGACCCTGAAGTGTCCTGACCTCTCGCTGCAGGCCTTTGTTTTTGGGTGACACAGTCACACCCAACTTGTGTTTTCTGGATTAGCCCATGTGGTGAAGACACATTCTGTTAGTTACCTGCAAGCGCTGTGGCCACAGTGGAGCGACCAGCACTGCAGCCTTCTGAGAGCCCGGCGCTGCAGCACACTGAGAGCCCCACACTGCAGCACACTGAGAGCCCCGCACTTCAGCCTTCTGAGAGCCCGGCGCTGCAGCACACTGAGAGCCCCACACTGCAGCACACTGAGAGCCCCGCACTGCAGCACACTGGGAGCCCCGCACTGCAGCACACTGGGAGCCCCGCACTGCAGCATACTGGGAGCCCCGCACTGCAGCACACTGAGAGCCCTGCACTGCAGCACACTGAGAGCCCAGCGCTGCAGCACACTGAGAGCCCCGCACTGCAGCACACTGGGAGCCCTGCACTGCAGCTCACTGAGAGCCCTGCACTGCAGCACACTGAGAGCCCCGCGCTGCAGCACACTAGGAGCCCCGCACTGCAGCACACTGGGAGCCCCGCACTGTGCTGCAGCTCACTGAGAGCCCAGCGCTGCAGCACACTGAGAGCCTCGCACTGCAGCACACTGAGAGCCTCGCACTGCAGCACACTGAGAGCCCCGCGCTGCAGCACACTGGGAGCCCTGCACTGCAGCTCACTGGGAGCCCTGCACTGCAGCTCACTGAGAGCCCCGCGCTGCAGCACACTGAGAGCCCCGCGCTGCAGCACACTGAGAGCCCCGCGCTGCAGCACACTGAGAGCCCCGTGCTGCAGCACACTGAGAGCCCCGCGCTGCAGCACACTGGGAGCCCCGCACTGCAGCACACTGGGAGCCCCGCACTGCAGCACACTGAGAGCCCCGCGCTGCAGCACACTGAGAGCCCCGCACTGCAGCACACTGGGAGCCCCGCACTGCAGCTCACTGGGAGCCCCGCACTGCAGCACACTGAGAGCCCAGCGCTGCAGCACACTGGGAGCCCCGCACTGCAGCACACTGGGAGCCCCGCACTGCAGCTCACTGAGAGCCCTGCACTGCAGCACACTGGGAGCCCCGCACTGCAGCACACTGGGAGCCCCGCACTGCAGCACACTGGGAGCCCCGCACTGCAGCTCACTGGGAGCCCCGCACTGCAGCTCACTGAGAGCCCAGAGCTGCAGCACACTGAGAGCCCCGCACTGCAGCACACTGAGAGCCCTGCACTGCAGCTCACTGAGAGCCCTAAGAAAGCAGTAGTGGATCCCAGCAAGATCACTGAGTAGAGGGTGCATTGGGTGCTCCTGCTTTCTCACTTGTGTCTTATCAGAGAGTAGAATGTACAGGTGGGCAGAGCTGACACTGTGCTGACTCATGGAGGTGTGCACGCACACACACACGCATGTAATAGTAACAATAATAATTGATCTGTAGTGGTTGCCCGCATGTACAACATCAATTCTTGTACCAGGGCCCATTTCAAGTCCCCAGTGTATATGAATGTGAGGTTCGGTCTAGTTCACATACTCAACTCCTGTAAGCATGTGGGCTGAGCCCAGCACCCCTACGGCCGGCGCTGAGGATAATGGCACAGGCAGAGGTGGCCCTCTATCCTGTGTTAGGAACTGAAATCTTCAAATAGTAGCCCTGGCAGACATAGTAAGCATCAGTCAGTGCTTGCCAGCTTGCACAGTGCCCCCTGTCAGAAAAGCACATTCCAGCAAGGCCAGTCCCCAGCTTAAGGCTTCTACTCAGAAAGCCAGGCAGGATGGAGCTGCAGGAGGCAGCTTGAGCCCCGCCTACTCATCTGCAAGCTGTTTTTTCAGAGTGCCTGCC